TTGAAGCAACTCATTTTGATCCTTAGACTCTCAAACAATCTAACAAGATGCCTTTAGTCAAAGACAAGTAACAACTTCAGTATCTCGACATGAGCTGGACTGTCAGAAACTGTTGAGATATCCAGGATGTTGAGATATCAGAGTTAAGACTCCAATATTTCATAGCAAATCAATGACCTTTTTTTTTACCAATCTGAGATAGATTATCATGCAAATTAAAATCCCATTTTCTGCAATCCCTCTTGAAATTAATTACAAATCGAAAGAAATAATTAAAAAAGAAACCTTTTAATTAAACTGTATCCTTTTTACACCTTCAATGCTGTTTACCACTACTGATTTTTTTTTAATCAATCAATCTGTATGTACATTGTAACATTTGTTTTCTGTCACAACAGGATATAAAATGCACTGTTTAACTTCAGGTTGGAAGTGTGACACAAATACCAGTACTTAAGATTTTTCTTCTTTGAGCTTGGCATTGCATATTATAGCACCTGGGATATGGCAATAACACAGCCTTACGTCAAGGGTATGGCATAATTCTATATATCATCCAAGTCTGGTTTGTGTGGCAATATCATGACATTAATAAGAATTTTTGTCTCTTATCCCTCTGTATTTTTAGTCCCACAAGTTTAAACACCTCTGTCCTTTTACCATGTTTATTACATGTTCTGGCTTACATTGCCTTGTTCTGAAAACTCCTAGTTGATATCGTGAATATAGTGAATGAACACTGCGTCATCAACAAAGTCTATTCAGCGAGCAAGATTTTAAAGATTTTATTTTACAAAAAATAACGCATATATTGTTATACACTGTATGTAACTGAAAATAATCAGAATGTTATGACAAAGTGTTTTCTGCAATAAACAATAGTACTCATGCACTAATGTGCAAGGTTTTTTTTTCTCTAAATGAAAATTTTAAGTTTGTTTACTGTAATGTGAGGGAGATATATATCATTCTTCTAGATTGTTCATCTTACTTCTTAGAAAGTGAGTCAATTTTTTGGTGTGGAAAATATGGAGTTCCATGAATTCTTTGTTCCCTTTATATTACCTGTAGAAGTAGGTGTGTGAAAATACTGTTTTCCAATTGGTCAGAAAAACATTTACTTGTTGAAAAATACCTATAGCAATTTTCAGCTTGACTATACTGTAAGTCGTTTTAATTACAGAGTGTTAAAATTTCACGATTTCTCAAAAAGTACCAATCAAATGGTTTTAATTTCATGCTGCAAGAAATTAATTTAAATTTCGTATAAACATTTAAACAATTTTAAAAACTTATAATAGCAAATATGATGGATTTAATTTCGCGGAAAAATGATGAATTGCGAACATAGTGAAATTAAAACCATCGTGATTATTTGCCAATCTACAGTATTTTGTTCAGACCTGTTTATTGGGATTGTGTATCTGACTTATCTCAATGCATTTTTAACCAAAAGAAAGTGTTCAATTTCTGGAATAATTTATTCGCATTTCTGGAATAATTTATTCGCATTTAATGTGTTATATCTAATAAAAGTACATGTATAACATACATTAGCTCACTTTTACGACTTAAAACACATTATTACTTTCAATTGAAATAGAAGGTGTGTACATGATGTATACACAAATGCATTTTTCGATTATATACCCAAGCTGTTAAGAATCAAACTGACAAACAGTTATGTTTAGAAGAACAGAATATTTCCCATTGTTAACATATACATGTACTTCGTAAACTTTGCTCTTTGGAGACTGAGAAAATACATCAAACTGGGAAGTTCTTATTATGGATTTTGAAGTTTTTTAATGAATTAGTCAGACAGTAAATACTGAAGGGAATATGGATGTACGATGACAAATGTTTTGAAAACTAATAGGACACCCTCTCCCCACCCGCCTTTCTGGGAAAAAGACTTTGTATGCAGGAGATGTAAAAAATCAAATACAGTACACTAATGTTCACTGTCTGTATTTAGTCATGAAAAATGCTAATCAAATGCTAATCAAAAAATAGTATACTGACTGATATGTTCATCAAAAGATTTTAATCTACGCCTCAACATTTAAAATATCCATAAATCAATATTATCACATGTAATTCATCCCCCTTCCCTATGTTGGAACCTATGATAAATATGCATCATATGTACACTAAGTATTTCACTAAAACCCCTTAAAAGGAATTTTGATCAAAGCCTTCCTACCTGGCTCTTTTAAAGTCTGAACAGGGGACACTACTCCTGTCTGTCTTCTTTTTGCATCATTTAAAATGTCTATAATCAAAGTGGCAAATTCCCTTGCATTGAATCTGGCAAGCTTCTGACGTCCCTACATAGGAAAGAAAATATAATTTCGGGTTATACATGTATGTGAATTGAATGAATGTACAGTGTATGAGAATTAACTTCTTTGACAAGAATGGAGTACCACTCTCTAAAAGTACAATTAATTTCTAGGTTTATAATATTCTTATGCCAGGATTTTTCGCTTAAGCTTTTCATGTACTGCTGAAAGCGTATCTATTAACTTAGTGTGCCTTTCTGAAATAAAGGCAAGGGACAATTTCTATGATTACGTATTATTGTCAACCATCTTGCTTTATTCCATTTCTATGGAATAAAGCAAGATGGTTGACATTTAAATTTTTTCAAATACATTATTAACAGTGATTAATTATCAAAAGTGAATGGCAAAGGGGAATAACTTCTCTCAGTAGAATTTAATTATGTACCTGATTCCGTGTGGCTGAAAAGTCTGGGTTAAGAGGGAGAAAAGGCACCCCCTGTCGGTCACTGACTAGAGCTTTGTTGTCATGTGTCTGTAGCCAATCTGTACAAAAAAAACCCATACATTATTGAAATATTATATGTTAAACTACAATAAATAGAAAATTTGATTTAATTTCTGTTTTTTTTTTTTTTTTTAAAAAAGATGATTAAAATCCTTACGTTCATCGTTTTCCCTTCTGTCAACTTCATCATAAACATCCATTGCTAATTCTTCAAATAAGTGATTTGGAAGCTTGAAAAGGAAAATGAACATTTTCAAATATTCACCAAGTCTATTGTTAACTATCAGATAGACAGTGTCTATTTGAAATGGTAAACAAGGACTTACTGCTTGTAACTTTTTCTTTGCTTGCTTTGCTAATTCTGACATATCTAAACTACTGTAAAATAAAATACACACAAAGATGACATTACCATAAAAGATATACAAAAATGTATGTCTCTAGTCCAAAAAGAATTCAGTTCATAATTTTGTTTTAAATATAGCTTTATATATGTATTAAATGGATTTTGTTGAAAGATTCATTTTCAAAGATTAGTACCTGTCTGCCATTTCAGGTATCTTAAAATGAATTCCTGTTCTGTGGTCTGAAATAAAGAAGAAAAAAATCTTGCTATTTTAGTTCTTTACTGAAATACCTGGAATCATTTCTCAGAGATATATTTTTACCTCCAATTAAAATTGCAAAATGAATGATGATTTTTTTTTACCAGGTTTTCGCTGGCAGAGATAATATGCCAGTCTATCAGTCAATTCATATTGACATTCAACAAGTCTGTCTGCTAAATCCATCTGACCCTCAGCCCTTGCAAAAGAAAATTAAAATCAATATAATACAAATTTGAAAAAATAAATAAATAAACATTACATATCAGTATAAGTTAATTCATTACAAATCACATAATTAATCTCTACACACCAACTTAATGTTACAGCTATGAAATGCCAAAAGAGTAATTTAGGATATAGAGATGTCTTGTAGGTATTCATGAGTGATATGTAAAAAGGAAGGTAACTCTTACTTGGCATGATCAATGGGAGTTTTCCCATTAGAGTCGTATGCCCCTGGATCAGCTCCATACACAACAAGAAGCTCCACCTGTAACGGTTGACCACTCTGGGCTGCGACATGCAGCGGACAATTTCCTTTCTCCTAACGAATGAAAAATAAACTATTTTTTACACTTCTTATTAATTCTTTTCTATGAAAAAATGGAAAGAAGAAGGTATGGTTTTAGCTTTATTGTGCCCTAAAAATTTGATGTTTTCAAAAAGTTTTGAAACTGGCTTAAATATTAGTTGAGTATATGACTGTAATAAATCAGGAAAGAATAGAGCATGATGGAGTACCATTCTTGATATATGACGTCATTAATTTGATGCATTTCTCTATTTTAAACAGAAAAAGCCTCAAAATGACCCATTTCAAGGGTTATTTTCCTTAAGGAAATAGTGTCCACAGCCGTCGCCCACGTTAATTTTTAGATATGTTGTGTAAAATTCTTTGAAAAATCACATATCTCAAAATCTTTGTGGGCGATGCCTGTGGACAATATTATCTGAAAGAAAATTCCATTGAAAATTGATGTCTTCTGCAACTTTTTAAGAAAATACGGGAAAATGCACAAGTTTATGACGTCACAATTAGCATTTGGAAGGTCATGTGAGAAAAAAGATTTGTATGATCTTTCTGCATGGAATTTCGATAATTCAAAAAGCATGAGTTTTAATTTTTTATATCACTTTTATTTTTAAGAAAAACACAGGGCAAGATTTGTATTGAAACCGTACCTTCATTTATCTAAAAAAGTTATCTAATGTAAAATTTTCTGAACTTACAGGATGAAAATAATTTGGATCTGCTCCTTTGGACAGGAGACGTAAACATGTCTCTAGATTATTTGTTCTCACACTTGAGTGCAATTGCTGTAAAAGTTTCGTAAATTATAAATAAATGAATCATACACTAAACAAATATTCAATCATATGACAGCACATATTATAGCATTAAATCAAACTGCTATAAAATGGTGAAAATGTTTCAGCACTTGAAATTTTAAAATTTCCTGTGCTTTTTTAGGGTTAAAAAAATCATCCTGCTTCAAACATATTTTTTATACTTAATATCATGAAGGAAGTAGAATTTTCATTTGTCAAGTCATTAACAATCTAGAAGCCAGATAAAAGGTCCCTTTCCTGTTAACTAATTACTCAGTCAAAAAAAAAAATTCTATCTGCCATGAAAGTATATGTAATTTATAGACAGGAATATCTAGGTGCTGTAATGTTGTACTTACTTACTTACCAACAAAGAACAGCAATATGATTAATGCAAAAAATAATTCACCTTACAATTTTTTTTTACAAAAATTTGTTAAATAAACGCCAATAATCTAAATTATCTAAAAATCTTTGTTTCTTTAAAAAATCCAGACTTAAAATGTCCTGCTAAAAAAATGTTTTTTTTAATTTATTTAAAAATGTATTTTTTACCCTATTCAATATAAAATTAGTTCCTGTATACCAAAAAAAATGGACTCATTTAAAAACTAGAGATACTCTGAGCACTGCATGAGCTCACAAAATGATACCCCTCCCCAATATGAGTAAAAGGTCAAAGTCCATATTATGCTAGGGTAAAGCCAAAATAGCTGTACAATCAAAACATATGAGGTGCACAATGGCAATATGTAATAAAGATTCTGAGAAAATCTCATAAAATTTTAATTAGCGGTATAAGAGGAGTTGCAGATAATAGATGGGTACCCCAAGTGTAATGGATGGATGGATGGACACCCCCATCACTATATACCCCCACTTTCCAAGCAGAGGTGGGGGGGGGGTGTAATAAATAATAATGAAATTCTGTTGTTTTCTTGCAAGAAATTTATCAGTATTGTACACCTAATTTTTATCCAACATTATGAAGTCAACATCTAGCTTTTTTCCCTTCTAATAATCTAAATTTCTCCAGTATTAAAATGTACCTTGCTCAAATCATCTATTGAATTGAGTTCTCCATCCTTCTGTTTATTTACAAACTGTAAGAACTGGTATTTGGACCTTATAAATTCTGTCTTCACAGGACTGAAATCACAAAATATACACATAGAAGAACAGGTGCTTTAATAAATGAAACATTCAGGTTTAAATTCCGTACTTATGTCAGTAGATCATCTATAACTTCAAACTACTGTATCCTAATAAACTTTACTTACAATTTTTGAACTATACTTTTAAAAAAAATTCATACAGGCTTAATTCATTAGTCCTTTTTTTTTTTTTTTTTTTTTTTTTTACAATTATAGAAGTTCAGTACATAAATTAGACAACTTTTAAATTTGTGAACATTTAAATTAAGAATAAAAGTGATCAGGGCAAAAATAAACAATATTTTCCAGTATGCTACTTGTACTAAGTAAAATGGGTCACTGCATGAGTTTTTTTGGCAGTATAGTTTGAAAAATTTCTTAAGATATATTTTCCTTCAAACAGAAATCTGATAATTTATGTCACTGACTCACACATCAGGTCTTGATAAGATTTTAATCTTGTTTCATGGTGGGTGTTGTACTAATTTAATGTTTTTGATTTCTGAGCTACTCTAGGAGCCCATCAATAAACAGTTCAGTTCCTTTCTGACTACCACACTTACTGGACTTGGTCTCTGGGGCCTGGCTTTTTCTTGCCATGTTTACTCTGTGAGGGGTCTAGCAGTGAATGCTCCCAAATACTGTTGGCTCCATGGTTAGCTAAATGCTGAACCATCTGTAAAACAAGGAAAGTTCAAACATGCAGTTAAACAAAAACAAATGTTCAAGGATTTTTTTTAAAGTTTCCCTGTATGCTACTGCCCTAGTAATATCATCAAAGGACCATATGCTATATTGCTAATAAATCATTAATGTTATGAAATTATAAATCCACTCTTATCATTGCACATGTAGGGTAACCTTTATTTATCTTAATGCATCTTTTATTTACAAATATAAAATTGCATAACAGCTTAATATAAAGTATACCAATAAAGAACCTAATTTTCAGCTGGCTGAAACATCAAAGCTGAGAGTTTAACTCAGGGCATTGCTGATCATGAGTGAAAGCATTTTCATTTCTATTGTTTATAATAAAGTTGTCTATCTGCTGGTACAAGATTGTTTTTTCTACCTAAAATATCAAGACCATCTGTCATATTAAATAAAGAAATGTATTTAGCGACAGCCATTAATTGCATCACCATCTTCCTTCCCCCAAGGAAATTTTAATACATGCATACAAATTTACCATATGCCGTTCTGCACCAGGAAATGCCAGAAATCCTAATTAAACCTTAAACGTGCTTTCATCATGTTAGCATTGCAATATTATGACATCATGAAAATATAGTCATTTTCCCATTTTTACCATTTTGAGAGATGAAGATACGTTACTAGGAGACTTTAAAAAAAAAATAATAATAAACATCTAATATACACATTCTCCATCACCAATCTATATTTCAATGCCTAAAATGAAGTCAAATATGGTAAGCTAGTGCTATAATTACACTTCAGAGTTAAAACTCATCTTTTCTCTTGTTTTCAAATTATTGAGGGAGAAAACTAGGGGTTTTTAATGTCCCAGAGACAAAAGTTCATAAGTTCAATTTATCTCTCTTCTAAAAAGCTATGGGAGAAACAAGGAATTTTCATACATGTATTACCATCATCTTCGCTAGCCAAGGGTTTCTGATACGCTACTCTCCTCATAAACCCTTGGCATACGGTAGACGGGATTGTGATAACGATTCTTACCAGGTACGCACAGATTGCGTCATTGACAGAAATAACAAGCGTATTTAAAACAATAATGTTTTTAAAGAATAATTAACAAGAAGGTATTGAGTTATGTTAATTTGTTTAAACATGTTAAAATGCAAATCTAAATCTTCAGTATTGATTCTTAATCACATATTTTGCACATAGCTTAAGATATTGGATGACACCATATAGCTATTCATAGAATGGCATGTTATCTTACGGATCGTTGTTTACTTGCGTTTTTCATTCCCGATATTAAAGAGTCAAGATATATCCCATACGCAAATATCGTCATTTACAAAAAAACAATTGCTGATTGGTCGAACGATGTCAATCAACTCCAATCACAACTTGAGAAAAAAATCCCAACTTTTTTTAACACCGTATGCCAAGGGCTTATGAGGAGAGTAGCGTATCAGAAACCCTTGGCTAGCGAAGATGGTATTACCTATTCTCTATTGAGAAGTTGATGGCTCGTTTTAATACTCCCCCTCAATATAATAATTTAATACTGAGGGGGAGTATTAAAACGAGCCATCAACTTCTCAATAGAGAATAGGTATTACCATTCAATTTCATGTAAACATGGTAAAGCCAATAAAATAGAACAGGTTTCAACTCTTATCACTATATCTTTTGCTAATGTATCAGTTTGATGACAGTGCAATACAACTTAGCTGATATTTAATTTTACTGTAAAATCACATAGTTCCCTCAGTTCAAATTTTCATGGTTTGAGGAAAAAAGGTCTGTTCGTGGGGATTTGATTTCATGGTTGAAATTTTACATTTCTTGGAGGACATGAATTTGTGGATCTCTTTATACCATCAGAATTAAACTCCCACAAAAATTAGTGATTTCACAGATCTTAAATGATACAGAATTTCTAAAGCAATCATATTTATGTACAGAGGTTTGGGACATTGCACTTTGTGCTAAACTTACATGAAGTCTGTCAGACACATGATTAATCAAAGTTAGGGACTCCATAGTCCCATTCTGACTATTATTTACTTGACAGTAAACTGCTATGACTTAAAAGTAACAGTGTGGGGATCCACTGTCCATTTGCAATTAATTTAAACAATATTTTATTATGAATTACACATAAAAGGATTGGACAGCAGGCATTGCCTATGCAAGTCCTCTCCATTTTTAATTCATTTGATTTGAGAGATGTGGCAACCCACTGTAGTGATTTGCTTGAACAGTAAACTGCTGTGACTTACAAGTAATTGTGTTGGGCTCCATTGACCCTTTGTAAGTGACTTGACTTGAGAAATGTGGCGGCCCAGGCTTCTGTGTACACTACAACACTCATCACAGATCAGAACACCACGATTTATGGAGGCCCATGTTGGATCTGCAGAAAGGAGAAACAGGATCAAGAATGCTGCTTAAAAGCAACACATGTTCTTAAACAAACAAATAATTTTCAAATAATGCCCTTTTTGGGGGGGGGGGGGGGTATTTTGCTTTTTTTTTTTGTTTGTTAAAAATTTCATTACTGAAGGAATTTGTGATCATCTGACTTCTTTATCACGTACTCCTTGTAGAGAAGACCAAATATATATATATACATACATATATATATATATATATATATATATATATATATATATATATATATATATATATATATATATATATATAAAGGCAGAGGAATTTCCCTTGTTCTTATATAAATTATACCATTATTACATCTCCCTAATACACTACACAGCTAATTACTAGACAAGTTTTATGTCTGGAATAATAGAATGAGAATATTTTTTGTCAGAAATCACAAAGAATAATACATTTGCTTTTTTATTCCCACCAGACATTAATCTGTGAAGATTACAACACGTTATTTAATTGTTTAGTGTTTCTCTCTTTGATTGTACATATATAAAGACTGAATTACCCTCCCCATACACATCAGACATAAAAGAACAGTATACACTTTAAAAGTGACTCATTCTAAGTAGTTATCACATCATTAAAACAAGAAGAAACTCATATCATACATGTACAATCATGTATGTTCATAGGCTTTAGCATAAATGTAAGTGTTCTGCTTAAAATTTCATATGAATCACTTTTTTGTATTGACTGAAACAAATCTGCCCATGAAGTGATGTAACCATCAAAGGCGTATTATAATATATGAAGAAAATTACACAAAGGCAAATTATTTATTCAAATATTATATAATCAAGCTGGTATATATATATTACATGGCTTACACTAACTGAGTCACACTAAGCTTTATAAAGTGACAATAAAGCTTTGTGTAAAATTTTCACACAAAAAGAAAAGAAACTTTTATTGTCAGTACTTTGAAAAATCTTGGCCAAACTGGGGGGGGGGGGGGGGGGGGGGCTGGATGCTGTGGATGTTACCCTCATGGTAGACTGTTCTATCAGCAACAGCAATACTATTATGTTAAAACTATTTATTTGTCTTCCCAGATAAAAAAAAATCTGCATGTTTATCATTAATTAATTATTCTTTAAGTTAAATTAAAATGTCTTAATATCAGTGTGAGTTCTAATTACCAATTCCATTGACCTAAAATGCTTACAATTCCAAGATAAAACTAAACATAAGAAACATCTATGATCACAACACTATCAAGGAACAATTGTCTGTTTGTAAATTTCCAAGTTGTAAACACACTAATGTCTTTCTAGATCCTGCAATCTCTTCCACACATTTTTACAGCAAAGTTTTGCTGTGTTTTAATCAGCATGGAAATGCTTGATTTGATAGAACCCCAGTAGATACCCTGTCAAATATACTGATGTAGATAAGAAGGCTAGATAACATCTCCCCCTCAGAGCCTCCCGCCTTACTTCACAAAAAACACAGCCAACTCTCTCATTCAAAATATCAGCAGAACCAAGTTATAGTAGCCAGCCAAAGGGGAAAAGATTAAAAAAATAATCTCTAACAACTTGTTGTACAGCTGCTGGGAGAACAAGACTGCTACCAGATGTAGAAAGGCTAATGGGCAACAAGTTTAGTCAACAGTTTGTGAAGGAATTAATGATCATAATATGATTCAATCATTTACACCAAGTGATTAGTGGAAGTGTTGGGAGAGATTTCCAAGTCTCAACAATTCTGCCTCATTGATCAGCATCATGAACACAATGCTGCTGCATTTCTTACTCTTCTTTTTTTCCACACACCTTTTTTTATTACTTTTTATTATGTAATCACCAGTATACAGATAAATAATTTCTCAAGGTATCCTGGTATCACAAACAAAAAATTATTCCCCTATCTATTTAAATATCATGCAGGTCCAACAGGAAGTACAAGAGCCTCTTACTCAGTGTCTAACAGCTGATTTGTAATAAGGAGGATATGTTGTTACAAGTGCTTATAAAACTACTTTTATTCTTCCAAGTACAAATCATATGTAGTCTTCATCTACTATAGGAGTGTTTGAAATTAAAAGTGAGAAGCAAAACAGATGCTCAAGATGAGAAAAACTTGATATGGTCACACAAATTCTGATCATTAAAAAAACCCCAAAAACATGATAGGAACACATTCAAGATGACACATTACAAGCACTTTTAAAAGATTTTATTTCTCAGTCTGCTAACCAATACACATCCACCAACCCATCCAATCACTACCCAGAAAAAAATCTTATCACTTCTTTTGCTAGTCCATAAACTCTCTTAATTTGGCTTTTTCATATGATACAAAGCTCTAAATAAATAATAATAAAACTACTTCACGGCAGTAACAAAAGGAAACAGTTATAAAATTTTGATATGATAGTCATTGTGCACAAACAAAACCAGGAATTGACTATTACAATAGTCTAGAAAACTTGACTGAACCTTTAATTTACAAGATCTTCTCATATTCAGTGTAATAAATAATACAAACAGAAACAACTGAAATTCAAGTGCCATAACACTATTTAAAAAAAAGTTCTACTGACTAATACATATGAATAAAACTTAGGATACTGATTCAGAAGTTCACTTTCATTTCACAAGTTCTTATTTCCTGTGAATACATTACAAAACATAAATTTTGCAAATCACTGATCATGAAAATTCTGTAGTTTTTAACTTTTACACATACAATTTTCAATGATTACAATTTACTCAAAATTTTCTGTACTAATTTAAGTTCTCTAACTTAACTAATCTTATCCTACATTGTATGATATATCAAAAAGTATGTAATCTATATTTTTAATGTTAGCGTGATAACTTTTTTCTCAGTTACTGTATATGAGTCAGAAGAATTGAAAATCTTTCAATGAATATTTAAATAGAATTAAACAATACCATATGTTGATATAAATGAGTTTTAAGAAAGCAGCAGACATATTTGACTATAAATGGATTAGGGCTGGGTATCGGCTGGGAAATTCGTATTGCAATATATTGCAATATTTTTAACTGTATTGCGATATGTATTGCAATATAAATTAACCTTTTCTTATTTTATTAACCTCCACTTATAAGCATAGTGTATATTACTATAAATAAGTTGTAACAAGAAAGTTTTGTTGATTTCACTACCGCTTTGTAACTACAAGATTGCAATACAATATTTTTTGTCAATGAATTGCAATATACCGGAATATCAATATTATTGCGCAGCCCTAAAATGGATACAATATATATCCCAAATGGAATTACAAATATTTATAGTGCAAAAATGAAATGAAAATATTAAGATGCAGATTTACAAATTTACAGGTAAAAGGAAAATCTTCAATTTTATATCCCTTTTGGGATATTATATTCCAAATGGGCTATTACCATGGATGTTTCTACTAGCATATAGGTCCCTGCTATTACATCCAATTTGTCAATTGGTCCCAACTTGTTCACTTTTTGAAAACACACACACATTAAATATGCTTTTTTTAAAGGGTGGATGACAAGCTGCTTATTCTTCAACAATCACTGGTAAGAATTCAGCTATCTTTTGTAAACATGTGAGTTGTCTCTTACATTTTAGAGAGGATATCTTTGTTTTTAACCATGTTAACCTATAGCCCTGTCAGCATGGTCAGTGAAAACTGCATACATTTCCTTATGTTATGATCATGAGAAAATCTTGAGGATTAAGGGACATCCTTACAAGATTTAACATCCAAAACACCTTGATAGTTATGGAAAAATAGACAAAAGAATATTGAATTATAACAAAATTAAATCAATTATTCTGCATTCTTTGTTTTCCTACATGTTGATGCATTGTAAATAATAACAAATTTTAAAATCCCCAATATAAATGATAATATGAAATTTTCTAGGCTACCTTAACCTATGACACTTTATTTCACAATTAACGAACGCATTTTTCCATTGATGTTTTTGTATTGCGATGAAGCAAAAGCTGGAATGATTCATACACGGATGTACCAGGCCCCCAGACTCCCCATCCAATGACTTACCTGGGGCTGTACAGTCGGCGCACACCTCAGATGCCGCCCTTACTTTTGTCCTAGACATGGGGACCTAGAAAGGTACCATTTATAGCCGCTGATCTTGCATAAAACGCTGTAAGGTACCCTCCCAAATTTCCACAACACAGAAGAAATATGAAGTAGGGTATTATGTTTCAATGGTATCTTCGAATTTTGTCCATTTCTCCAGAAAAAATATTATTAAAATAAATTACTATGAAAATAGAGTAAAAAAATAATTGGCTGCTTGCTCCAAGATATTAATGTGATAAATTTGACCTTCAATACAATTTTAGTTTCGTATTTATTGTCGTAAAATCAAATATTCAAGTAGAAAAAACTATAAATGGCAACAAATGAAAGATATATTATATCATAATATTATCATTTAAGTAAAAAAGTAAAAATGCTAATTATTTATCTTACACATCTAAGATTTCTTGCGACAAACATAAAACGTCGTCTTTGCGGAAGCAGCAGTCCAACTTTCTCTTCTTCAAGAAATGCTTTAAATAGAAGAAATGAATCATTAAATGATAATATCGTTGACATGATAGCTTTGGACAGCTAGGACAAGACATGTCTAGTAAATCTCTTCAAGAGGAGTTCCCCATCCATTGGCTGGTTTGGGATAATGATTACCAAGGAATAGAACGAGAATTGTCTAACAAATCAAATGTAAATATGTAGTAATTTGAAATCGTTAAGATTTTTTAACACATTAAAGATTAATTGCTATATGTATGTCTCTATGGTTTAACGGGTAACTGTTAGGGTGAGGGGAGTAGATTTGTTTCATTCAATCCTATGTTTCAATAATTGCACAAAACAACTTCAGGCCTAGATCTACTTAATATGTCGACGTAGTCCGAAATATCTGACGTTTTCCAGGCTTTTTTCACGATTTGATATTTTACGTGCCAGGAAAACGTCAGAACCGGCGCCATTACAAAAACTGGAAATTTCACCGTCTCCAACTGGAGCTGATTTTCAATACTTGCGAACTGAATTAAATGCCGAACTTACTATTTATCAGTACAATGCTTCTAGTACTCACTAATATCGATGAAAAGAAAATATCACTCCACATTTCGATTTGGTCTTGCAAGAATTTAAAATGCACGAAATGAAAAGAAAACTCGACCCTCTGATAAAATGTTTTCACCAGATTGTATATTTCATAAACAAACCCATATAAACGATGTTAGTGTGTACTAAAGGCATTGTACTACTGATAAGTTGTGAATTCAGCATTTAATTCGGTTAGCAAGTATCGAAAATCAACCCGAGAATGCCGCCTCCAGTTGGAGGCGGCGAATTTCCAGTTTTTGTAATGGTGCCGGTTCTGACGTTTTCCTGGCACGTAAAATATCAAATCATGAAAAAATCCTGGAAAACGTCAGATATTTCGGACTAATGTCGACGGTGCGAACGTGGGTTGAGCGCATTAAGTTGTTTATTGGATACCTATTAACTTTTGTAAAACATAGATTTGCCTTTTTAAACTGCACAAGACATTTGGAACATGTAGACTGTGACATCACATGATGCCGTATGTTGGTTGCATTATCATAACAAACTCTGAAAAGTGCACATTTTAACAAAGGACGTTTAATTATCTACTATTTATCTGCAATATTCATAAATCAAAGTGAGTTTATCATTTGGTGAATTTTTGTTTTTAACATGAGAACGTAGTTAGCAGCAAATGCAGTTGTGGGTCGTGAGGTAATTTTGGAAAAAAAACTCATTTGATTCAATGTGAACTGTCTGAATTTTCTCTTCACCCAGGCATTGTTTTAAGACCTCACAGTGCGAGCGGCGTAAAGAGCATTACACTGTAAATTAAGAGTCAAACACACTCTGTCTATAGACAGAGACATGATTGATTGAATATTACATAATACTAGTTATCATGATCGCATATAACAGAATTAATTCTTTCATGATGGAGGTTTGAAACGTTCATTAGGTTGGGAGAATGCGCTGTTGAATACAGCACACAATCTGATCACTGTAGTTTTTTTAAGGACATAAAGGAAAGAAGTCCTGGTGAAATGTAAGAGGAGCTAGTCCTCTTGTTTTATATATTTATTACTACTTTCCACTAAGGCAACTCATCAAATTTAATTCAAGTTTTTTACTTTCTGATAATTGTTACTTTTGGAAGTTGACAAAATACTGTAAACATTTTGAATTTTGTCAACTACTATTTGAAGTGCAATCCTCGGTAATACCATAATGGGTTCCTAGTCATATTTTGGGCTTGGCAGAACTTAATGAGAATTTTTAGGTTGCCCATCAGGTCACACAAAGAATGATACATAACAAATATGATGTATTTTATGATGTGATGTATTTTATTGTAAAGTTTTTTTGTAAAGGTCAAATGAGAAGCATTGGTAATTGCAGTGATGAATAACAATTAGCAATCAGTGAACAAGATTGTCACTAAACTGTCAATTGGATAACTTTGAATTAGTATCAGGATATACATTTGAAAGCAAGGTCAGAAATACATGTAATGAGTTAATTATCAATTGAAATATTATTATCTTGATAAATATGTCAATAACTTGTGTATAAACATGGAATAAATTTTCAGGAAAGGATACACTTATCTACTTTCCTCTTTGAAATGCCAGTGTTTGGAACTCTGATTTTATTGGGAAAAAGACTTAATTAGCTAGTTTAGTTATTGATGTTGGTTGTTGAAATTAATTGAAATGATGAGGAAATTAATAAAAATATCAAACAATTTTATATGACATTTTACAACACACAACATAAAACAAAATCAGAGACACAAATAACAGAGATTTGCAACTCAGTAAACATGTATATTTCCCAGAGTATGTGATGGTCCTGACATTATTCTAAAAATTACTCATTGGTTGTGTATTTAGATCTAAGATTAAATTAATATTAATTTTATTTAGGGATGTCAACGAATATTCGAACATTCGAATATTCATTCGATGAATTAATATTCGAATATGAATTTAAGATTCGAATATTCGGTATTTTTCAGATTTCATAAAAAAGAGATAATAAATTTTATTTAGAACAGTGCTGTAATAATAATAATCATATTATATAATTATTATTATATTTACTAGTGATCCCCCGATTTCTTTCCATACTTTCTTATTTTATAGATCTTCTAAATTATTTCATTTTGAGTAAGGTATAAAAGAAATAAACAAGAATTATTAATGTATAATACAAAAAGTACTTTCAGTAGTTTAATATGATCGGATCTAGAATCAAGGACAACAAAATAAAACCCTTCTTGAATGTCTAAGAGAAGTGAAGAGTGAAGTTATGAAAATAAATTTTTTTGACCATTGAATTACATCTTTGATAGAATCAGCCTGTAATATTGTAAAGGGCTCAATTTCAGAATAATGCATCAATTACCAGTACTTGATTATCTCGGGTTGAATATATTCCTAAATTTTAAAATCATTATCGGGAAATTAATGACCTAGTAAAATTGTCTATGGAAGTGTTTGTTGATGTTTTCAAAACATTACATCAACGATTATATTATTAATATCTCTTATTAAGCAGATAATTGTAATTAATTAAGTGTATTTAAATCTGAAGAGTAAACGACAATCTTGCCCCTGGTTAGAGGTTCGTCAGTTTGAGTTTGTATAGATATCATTTGTTAAAATAATATTTCGGTTGTATAGACTTAAATCAATTATTTATTTTAAACATTGACAAATATCAAATGTAGAATTCCTTACTGTACGCCTACAAAAGTCTACATCCAATTTTACTTCCAAATACCGACGCAAAACCTGCCATGAGGGTATGATGCTGTACTTTTGAAATAAACGAGATTTCATTTATCTTATCGAATATTCGAATATATTCGAATACTTTCATTGAATATTCGAATATGAATATTGACAAAATTGACATCCCTAATTTTATTATATATGGATTTATGATTTATAAAGTTTTAAAACTATATATTGCTTATTAAAGAGCAAAGTAATAGATTTTGGACAATTGTTAATGTATCATAATCCTGAGCCAAGGTCATTAACATCAGGTCATGGTTACTGGACAAGGTCATGGTTACTGGGCAAGGAAATATGTGTATAATATGTAAAATTTCGAAAGAAATAACTGTAATGATGGAAGGTCAGGAGGTCATACATGGCTTTTAAATTCATTTGATCAAAGTCACGTGGCTCAGATGTATAAATCTTCTTTGTGTTGTAAATAAAGTTGTGTTTTCTGTTTAACATTACATGTCGTTCTCACTGAGATTTTTATACATGCCTTGTTTGTTTTAGAATGATATTGAGGGGAAGGATCCTCGTGGTAGAACTCCGTTACATTTGGCAGTAGCCTTGGGGCACCTTGAGAGTGCTCGGACTCTTTTAAGACATGGAGCAAGTACTCTTGCAGAAAACAAAGGCTATTGGTCAGGTAGTCATTAGCTCTACTTTTACCCTTAAATAAAACAATAATACATGTATTTATTTCAAAATTTGTATTTGTCTTTTTTTTCTTAGAAGTAATTTTTAATTTTTTTTCTTCGTAGTGTTACATGAGGCTGTTTGTACAGGTGATCCAGAACTGGTACAGATTGTGTTAGAAAACAGAGACTACCAGAGGTACAGCAAAAGGACAGTAGGGGTCCCAGACCTTCTGAAAAAGCTCAAGGAGGTATATGGTTGTTGAATAATATGCTGATTGATGTTGTGTCATTCCACTCTATTCTATTTTATACTACATTTTGAATACTATTATAAAAAGAATGTTGCACATTTGCACCTTTTTATTTGGGTTTTATACATGCTCTTATTTCAATTGATCATTCTATCAGTTTATTCTTCTGGTTTAGACTGGTACCATTTAACTTGAATGGAGTGGAAAATGAAGAGTAGAAGTGAATTAATTCACTGAGGATATTTATAATGAGCATATGCTACAGAGAAAATAGAGTTTTCTAACTAAGATCATATTTTACAGTCTCCAGATTTCTATGTTGAGATGAAGTGGGAATTTACAAGTTGGGGTAGGTGAAATCCAACAAATATTGACCTACATTGTAGTTTTTCATCACCTTTATGTTTTCTTGTAAATTACTTAGTATGTAATTTATATAAAGCAACCCTTTGTAAATTCTTTCATGTTGCCTATTGAAATTTCATAGTACCTTACTTGTAACTACCAAACATACACATTGAAGCTATTTGAAAATACTGTACATGTGGAAACTTTGACGATGAAATAAAACAAATGACTAACAATTGTCAAAGTTTCACTCATCACCTTTGTTGTCATTGTTTACGAGATCTAAAATACTAGTAGACCATCAAAGCTTCCACTGGACAAATTTATAAAATAAGCGAGAAACTTGGGAAACATTCAATGCCTCATTATAACCATTTACAGTATAATATGTATAAAAGCAGATTCATTATTCTTTTACAGTTCCATTAGTATCAAGAATGTGTCCTAGTGACACATACAGGGTGTGGAAAAGTGGTAAGTACTGGGGTATATATTACTTCTCCTACTGGAGATAAATTCCTCTATAAAGACTTTTATTCTTTTCTGTATCATGAGAAGTTACCCTTTAGTCTTTTAAAGTACATGTAGAATGAAAAAACTGACTTACTTACATGTATTTTCTACTTAATTGCTGATGTAAAAATTTTGTAATGAATTGATGAACTGTTGTTGAAACACAGGGTCCAAAGTAAGAATAGACACCACACTTCTGGGGTTTGACAACATGAACTGGGAAAGAGGAAGCAGAAGCTACATCTTCAAAGGCACTGGTAGGTTACATTTATACAGATGCCAGATGGACTTTGTGCCAGTGATGAGGAACTCTATACAAGTGATACAGTTTCTTTCTTCACTATGAAATTTGTACACTAATATTTGTTTATAAATATTTTAAATACATGTATAGTGAACACATACATGTACATGTACATATAATAAGGTGGCAGTTTTCTATAATTTGGATCATTCAAACAGAAAAATATACATGTAAATTATAGCAAAGCAGTTTTGATCTATATATTCTGGGAAGGGGTAAAGTAATTTAATCCAAGGTTGCTATTGTAGATTATACTATTGTTTATAAACAAAAATCATTTTTTGGAGTCTTCCGTTGCCCTGAATAGATTCGATAGTTCGCTGATTGGAGCAGCACACATTTCTTTCCAAGTTAACCCAGATATAGGCAATGTTAATATATGAATATTATCAGCACAAGACATGTGCTTTTCAGAGAACAGGGCAGTAGCAATGGAGATAGATCATGATAGACGAGAGGTTTTCACAGAGACAATGCAGATTTTACCAGCTAACTTTGACATGTCATTAATGAAGCCATCAGAAGATGCCATTGCAGCTCGGCTCACCAACCCTGTGGTCACAACTTACATAGATACCGATAAAATAGCTTTTGAAAGGTAGAAAACTTACAAAGATACCAATAAAATAGCTTTGAAAGGTAGAAATCCTAAGTATTTTATTTTGAACAGCATATTTATTGAATTTTTATCTTATATTTATTGTAAACTTCAGCTAGTAATGTGTCTACCTTTTAAATCCATAATTTCGTATGTGATTTACACTTGAACATGTATTGAAGGCTTTTTGTTTTGATTATTGTAGTCAGTTGTATGTTAATTTAATAATGACAAACAAAATATCAGATTTTTTTCCATTTTAATCATTTAATCTGATTTTTATGTGTGTGACAAATTCAGTTAATCGTTTCCCTTCTACATGAACAGAAATAAATCAGGGATTTGGGGCTGGAGAAGTGACAGATCAGAAGTTGTCAATGGCTATGAAGCCAAGGTAACAGATCTCAGAATTTCTTGCTTTCAACTTCCTGTTAAATACCAGAAATATATGCAACAAGAAAGGAATAGAACAAGTTTTATAATTTCAGTTATAAATAAATACCTGGTACATGTATCAAGAATAGTAAGCCAACCTTTGTATTTACACTACATTTGTGGAGAGAACATGTTTTGTGTAGATGTATATTAATGTATAAATCATAGCTGTACTTATTACAGTGATGGATACTTTAAATAAAAATATGAGATAAAGTAAAAAAAAGTGTACAACTCTACCTGTCATTGTTGTAGGTTTTTAGTGCATCGAATGTAGAGCTTATAACTAAAACAAGGACTGAGCACTTGTCTGATTCAGACAAACAGAAATCCAAAAGTAAAAGTAGCAAAACGCCATTGGAGTCCTTCCTAGGGGTAGCAGAGGAACATAACAAAAAGCAGGGAGCCACCAATGGGGTAGGGATGGTGTCAAAAGTTTCTTTATAATCTATTATTATTAATCTTGTAATTTTTTATTTCAAAAATAATCATCCAAAGTGATTTTAAATTGATCAAATTGATCAAATAAGGACACAGTACACAATGCTCATTTAAATGTTTAATCTATAGTTTTTCAATGGTACTAGATTAAACTATCTTTCTATCACATAAGATATTTATTTTCAGGATATATTGGATCTTATTTATAACCCTAGTCATATCACAAAAGAGGAATACTTCAACAGTCATATAGACCTTGGAGACCGTGATATTGGTCGTCCCATTGAACAATCTAAAAAGACTCAGAAGTTTAAAGCTACTCTGTGGTTGTGTGAACATTACCCATTATCTCTACAAGAGCAAGTCGTGCCAATCATTGACTTGATGGCAGCCAGCAATGCACATTTTCAAAAATTGAGAGATTTTATCACTTTACAATTACCTGCCGGATTTCCGGTGAAAATAGGTTGGTTTCTACCAAAGTTAAGAAATACCTTATATTGGTTGTCATTTAGTTTTTAATTTCAATAGAAAAATAGGTAGTACACGTATTTACAACACCTTTCTGAAATGGGTACAGTAAATAATACAAAATATTTTTAAATCAGAAGATATTTAATTCACATATCATTTTGTAAATTTTCTTGAAGTGAGAGAGTTAAATTTGATATGAAAATTGATTAGCATTGAGATGAAAAATTGAAAGAATGAAAATCAACTTTACTGCTTTTTTATGTCAGAAATTCCCTTGTTCCATGTTCTGAATGCCAGAATAACTTTTGGAAATATAAATGGCTGTGATACCCCTGTGGAGGGGGTCACCACAACAGAGGATGCTGGGAAGGTGACCACCTTTGTAGATGAGTCCTGTTTTGAGTCTCCACCAGGCTACAGACGATTAGGTCAGATCTTATTGATATTATGCTTTCACACAAAAACTTTACAAAATGGGTTGCATTGAGAAGTCGGGAGATACAATGTAGATTACACCACATGGCAGATTGTGTTTTCCTTGCAATATCTCATGACCTTCGTTCACTTAATGTTGAGGTGCTCAGATATGTTTGACCCCAACATAACAAAACAGTTCAGCTAGTGTAGCACATTAGAAAAGGATTTCTTTCATGAAATTCTAGCCATTTCATTTGATATACTGTAGATCACTAAATTTTCGCGACACCTTATTTTCGCGAGATAGTTATTAAATCTTTATTAGCAAGACAAAACTTTCACGAATTGTGGTTATTGCTCTATATAATCCTTAAAGAATACTATTCTACGTGAGAATAAAATTTTCGCGAGCAAACCGTCTCGCGTAATTACGCGAAAATAAAGTTCTCTCGAATAAAAAGTGATTTACAGTATACATGTACATGTATATTATACAGTCTATCCTTCTTCTATGTTAACAGGTGATATTCACCATGAGAGACTGAGAGATGAGGATGATCAGATTTTACAGTTTGCCATTCAGCAGAGTTTGATGGATGGTAACACAGACCCTGTAGAACAGGTGGGATAACTGAAAACAGAATAATTGAAATTGAAAATAGTTTGTAAATTGAAAGAACAGCTAATATGTTTGAAATCAGCTTGTACATGTAGTTAACAGATTGAGATTTCCTTACACCACACATTTTTATTTCTTATTAACTGGTTATGTAAACTCAACAGCTATGGATTGAATTGAATCTTTGAGACTATAATTATGCATTTATTTTTTAGCACTGTTGTAGAGTACACATAGGTGCATTTTTTCATTGCAGTTGACATTTTATGAGGCACTAAACAATATTCGACCTCCCCCTCCAACCCGACCTTTGCCATCTATAAGACAAGAAGAGGATGCTCTACTACAAAGGTAAAGGTGTAATTTTATTGTGTGAAACACTTGTGGAATGTAGATTTCATAGTTATTTAGAACTTTAAGAGTACAACTGAAGTATTCTGCTGTTGATTTCATACTTGCAATAATACAACTATATTTCATTAAACATGTGTGTTGTAAAAATCAATTTTCTTTAATTACTTTGGGATATGAGATATTGAGCTCAGTAATTTCCTCTTACAAAATTTATTTTTATATGCAGGTCAATAGGGAGCAATTTCAGGGGTGAGGGGGGCACAGCCATACATTTTCAGTTGGGGGGCACTATCAACTAGCAAAAATTCCTTGACAAGCAAAAAAAAAAAATGCCATCAGACGTTTTTATTGAGGGGGCACAAACATATAGTAGCTATGTTTTCTGTAGTAGTCTATATATCAGCAAAATTATTGTGCCCCCGGCTCCTACGACCATGATATGTACTTATATGTACAGTACATGTATACCTGTACATATCAGTTCAGCAGTATGTATTTTATGCATTTCTACCAAGAGATATTACTGCATAATAAAGGTTACCAAAAACTTGCATGTTGTTATATGGCAATACCAGTAATTCAATTCGAATTACAATGCTACTAAAATGATAATGATCCAAATACAGTATTGTTTCAAGGGCAATAACTCCTGAAATAATTGAAACAATGGGTCTATTTCAGAGCAATAGCAGAGAGTTTAGCTCTACAATCAGGGAACCCAGTTTGTTCAGAGATTATCTCAGAACCTAACAGTAGCAGTAACATTGATGATGACTTACAACTAGCCTTGGAACTGTCTCAGCAGACTCTTACAGAAGATGAAAAACGCCGGAAACAGGAAGACGAGGAGCTGGAAAAAATCCTCAAACTGTCACTGGAGGACAAGTGAATTTCTCCTCCTCATCATGAGGATTGTCAGACTCTGTCATATAACCTTTTGTGAAAGACTTAGGTTCATGTGCTTTATCGGGTGTTATGTGATATCATTACTCATGGATTTTGAGAATGGATCTTTTTATCATTGACCTTGTATTGAAACCATAATGGCGCCTCTTTCCATTAGGTTTACATTCCTCCAGTATCTAGAGTATATATGTGTTGTGTCAAGATGCAGTTGTGATTCTGCCATCTTTTGTTTTGGAATATGTTGCGTCAAATACCCCTGCCTATCAGGCATCGCTACTGTCAGATAGTGCTAGTTGTCCTGAGTAGGTAATTGTGCTAAATCTAAAATGTATGTGTTCATTGTCCAAAAGTCTGCAGATTATTCACACATGTATTTTGTTACAAAGTCAGGTTTATACTGTATGAATGTTGTTGCTTAATTTATTAAAATTCATTATTACAGCAGTTTTATGTATAATTATGAATGTTTAAGAAACAGTCTCTTAACTACAGTATATATACATGTGTAAATTATTTCATATTCTGTTGGAAAATATAAGAAAGTTAAGACATCTGGGAGCTAAAATAAAGTTTAATAAATGGTAACCTTGACCTTGAATGTGACTTAGAACTCGTAAGTTATTTCTCACGTTAGGTGTTTCCATATTTACAAGTAAGCAATAAAACAATATCATATGCATTAAGTGTATGCAGTCTGCTAAAAATATCTCAACTACCTTTAAGGAGGTTGGATCCTGCCATCAAAAGTAATGAGAATTTTTTATCAAGTATATTTTTAGAATTTATACCCATAGCTTAATTAAAAATCAAAACAAAAATTGGGGGTCAATGTGCTTCTTTTGGCGCTACAGAGCATTTAGTTTGACCTTTTTGCACTGTAAATATGTCTTACACATAAATCAATTTTTAAAGTTTTCCTCGAATATTTTTTATTCAAATAAATTATGGGAACAAACACAGTCCTATTTCATCTTGAATAGATACATTAAAATTTGTGACAATGAAAATTTTTTTCAAATGACTCCGCATGTTCAATTATTTGACCTTTTTGCACTCAAAAAATTTCATTTTTCTGGCATTAGAACTTTAACAAGCAAAAAAATCATTTGAAAGTAATGACATTTTACTGAATTTAAGAAGAATGGTTAAAAGTATCTTATATATTCAGAAAAGAAAATAAAAAGTGGGGGTCTCTGATGTTAATTTTTAGATATTACTAAAATAGTGCTAATTTTAAGCTTAAATTAGGGCTTTTTTTTTTTTCTTCATGTTCACAATATATTTGCTATATTTATCAAATATGATGATAGAATTCATGACAGTTTATTTAATATATAATTTAGGACCAGTATAAAACAGTTCACTGCACAAAATAACTCTGTGTGTAGACTGCATGTAAAAATAGGAATCCAAACTTAACATACTTTAAATACTTCGAAAGAGAAAAAAATGATCATTTTCTTCTAAAAAACCTTCCGCCAAAAATATAGTTCCTCACATAATGCTTTTGGTATGGAATTTAATCATGGAGTTTTAACTGAATATAGTTTAATTGGCATTGTAGAATCCAATTTTATTGCAAGAATTAAAATATTATGCAGAATTTTTAAAATAAAGGTTAAGATATAAATCTGCTCAAAAGCTCAGGAGCGAACCTCGTTAAGTGTTTTTTTTAGCAGGGTGATAACAGCTTATTTTAGCAATTAAGTGGTCTAAAATGTTTTAATTGAACACTTATACTTATAAAGAAAGATAACACAAGAAAGATCACTATGATCTGTATTTAAACATTGTCTTTCTTTTGTTTTCAAAATTCTTCCGTAAATTGATATTGAAACATATTAAATACCCTTCCTCGCTAGTAATGATATTTTCGTCCACATTAAACCCATTATGACAGAACTTCAAGATTTGACCTACCAGGTATTTTGATATTACTATTTCTCTTCATATTTAAGGTATCTGAAGTACTTCTGCTAAACAGTACAAATTTATGCTGCTGGTTTCCAAATTATCATAAAATTGAGCCAGCAAAATGTCAAATTTTACACCTTAAAAAAACATATGCTGTTCCACATTATTTTAATGTTTGCAAAGTGATTTCCATACAATCCCAAAATTCATCAGCTTTTCAAATCAAAATAGAGTTATTCCATCCATCTACATTAACACAATGAAGATATTCCTACAGGAACCAAATGATCTGAAGAGTAAGAATAATAGCACAAAGAAAATAAACTTTAATGGATTAAACTACCCAGTATATAATCAGATTTACGTAATAAACTTGCAGAAAAAAATAATCTGGATTTTTTATGCCCCCATAATCGAAGATTCAGGAGCATATAGTTTTTGCCCTGTCCGTCTGCCTGTCTGTCCGTTTGTCCGCAAAAACTTTAACCTTGCCCATAACTTTTGATTGGTTGAAGCTATGACTTTCATATTTCACATGTGTATTCCTTGTGACAAGACCTTTCTTTGGGTACCACCAAATTTGACCTTGACCTTGGAGTTTGACCTAGTTTTGTTACCAAACTTTAACCTTGGCCATAACTTTTGAACAATTGATGCTAGGGCTTTTATACTTATCATGTGTAATCCTTGTGACAAGACCTTCCTTTTGATACAACTTTGACCTTGACCTAGGAGTTTGACCTATTTTTGAAAAAACTTTAACCTTGGCTATAACTTTTAAACAGTTTGTGCTAGGGCTTTCATATTTCACATGTGTATTCCTTGTGAGAAGACCTTTCTTAGGATACCAACAACTTTGACCTTGGCCTTGGATTTGACCTACTTTAATTTAGAAAAAATTAACCTTGGCCATAACTTTTGAACAATTAGTGCTAGGATTTTCATACTTCACTTGTGTATTTCATGTGACAAGACCTTCCTTTGGACACCAACATTTTTGACCCATTGACCTTGACCTTGGAGTTTGACCTACTGTTGAAAAAACCCAAACCTTGGCCGTAACTTTTAAACAGTTGGTGCTAGGGCATTCATACGTCACATATGCATTCCTTGTAACAAGACCTTCCTTTAGATATTAACAATTTTGACCCTTTGACCTTGACCTTGGAGTTTGACCTACTTTTGAAAAACTTTAACCTTGGCCATAACTTTTGAACAGTTGGTGTTGGGGTTTTCATACTTCACATGTATATTCCTTGTGACAAGACCTTCCTTTGGAAACCAACAATTTTGGCATTGACCTTGACCTTGGAGTTTGACCTACTTATAAAAAAAATAACTTTTGCCATAACATTTGAATGTTTGGTTCTAGGGCTTTCACATTTCAGGATCATGTGTATCACTTGTGACAAGACCTTCCCTTGGGCACCATTTGATCTTGACCTTGCCATTTTACTTACTTTGAAAAAACTTTAACCTTCGCCAGAACTTTTCAACCGTTGGTGCTAGGACATCCGTCTGTAAACTTTTCACATTTTCAACTTCTTCTCAAGAACCACTGGGCCAATTTTAATCAAACTTGATACAAAACATCCTTGGGTGAAGGGGAGTTTAAATTGTTAAAATGAATTATCTCCCTTTCAAAGGGGAGATAATCAAGAAAAGACAAAAATTGGGTGGGGTCATTAAAGAATCTTCTTCTCAGGAACCACTGGGCCAGAAAAGCTGAAACTTATGTGGAAGCATCCTGGAGTAGTGTAGATTCAATATTTTTCAAATCATAACCCCTGGGGGTAGGGTGGGGCCACATAGGAAATCCAAGTTTTACATTGAAATATGTAGAAAATATTGTTAAAAATCTTCTTCTCAAGAACCACTGGGCCAGAAAAGCTGAAACTTATGTGGAAGCATCCTGGGGTAGTGTAGATTCAATATTTTTCAAATCATAACCCCTGGGGGTAGGGTGGGGCCACATAGGGAATCCAAATTTTACATTGAAATATGTAGAAAATATTGTTAAAAATCTTCTTCTCAAGAATCACTGGGCCAGAAAAGCTGAAACTTATGTGGAAGCATCCTGGGGTAGTGTAGATTCTAAAACATAAATGTCAAGTTGGATTTGTGCCATCAAAAATAATTTGGTGTGTTCACAGTTCTCCCAATGGTTACTGTTTGAATCTTTAATCACCATTGGTATACCAATGGTGCCAACGTTTACCAAAGGTAGATACCATTGGTAGATCTTTTTGCAGGCCAACCATGTTTGTGGTAGCATTGCAAGTGCAGGATTTTTTTCATTAGTAATACCTTCAAAATGGTGGCAAACACAGTGCACATGAATATCAGGGACATATCAAGAGCAGCACCAAAATCAAAATCTGATACACAGAATTATTTATACTAATATAGGCTATGTACTTTTGTTTAAAGTCTTATTGAAATCGGACCAAAACTGTAGAAGCAGTAGCATTTTGAAAAAATTCACAATTTTTTTTTTTTTGTAAACTTGGCAAAACTGTTTGTCGTAATCATAAACAAACAGATAGAATTATCTATCTTAGTACAGTCTACTTGTGTACCAAGTCCAATTGAAATCGGATGAGAACTGTAGGAGGAGGAGTGTTTTGAAAAAAAAAAACCCAGCTTCTTATAGATGGACAGATGACTGAAACCTTACTAATGCATATATTGACCCCCTCCCATTTTTGATGTGGTTGTTCCACCTTCTTGTTCAACATTTGTGCAAGATGTAATGGTTATGAAATATTTAAGCCCTGTAAAGTTTTAAGCCTAAAGGAACAGGGGATAAGTGTAAAACTACATGATGACATTACACTTCTTTTTAATAATTAACTATCAAGTTCGAAGAGGGATTCAATTTTGCAGTCATGTCCTGACCCCAGAATACCCCATGTAAACAATCATATGGGAGGGGGTCTTGAATAATCAAAATATTATGGCCATAATATTCAAAATTTAAACCCTGTTTCTATACCTTATAGGGGTTCATTATTTTAGAGCCATATTTTAAAGGGCCAAAAATTGGGGGGGGGGGATGTCTTCATGATTTCATGCCTATGAATTATTTGAAACCCCTCCTTAAGACTTTGTTAAGGTGGGGGATGGGTGATTGGGGGGGGGGGGGGGGACATAACATGACTGATTCGATATACCATTTTACACTTCCTCATGTACATACAGTCACAGCAAGAAAATACAGATAAGCAAAAAGTTTAGTAGATATATGTACAATATTTTTTTCTCATTTTATTCTTTTATATACATGCATGTACATTACTTTCTCATAGATTTACAGGCTTCAACATTAAAATTTCTATTTTTAGTAACCTTGGCAACACCTTTTGTCAAAATCAAAAACCAATGAAAAGAATTATTTATCTGAGTATAGTCTATACTTATGTACAATTAGTCTAATTGAAATCACACCAAAACTGCTGTATCATTTTCTGTGTGAAATTTTAGAAGCAGCTCTATATACATTTTTTTTTAAGTTTGTTACTGTATTAATACAGTATTAATTGTCTAATGCATTTATTAACTTAGGAAGTAATACTTATTATGATAAGGATTTTATTTCTCAGTTTGTTGCGTTACATGTGAACAAGGGGAAAAAGGGTAAGAAACCCCTTCCATGACACATGTACAGTTGAACTTCATTATCTCAAATTTTGATATCTTGATAACCATGGATATGTTCAAGTCAATTAACAATTTAAACCACTTTTTCTTAATGTATTTTATCTTTAATATCTTGAAATTTTGTCTCAGTCCCATTGGGTTAGAGATAAAGGGGTCTTACTGTATATTGCAACATGAAAAGAAATGCACCTTCCTTCTTTGGTCAAAGATAATACATGTATACAATGAAATTTTTTTAAAAAAAATTTTAATATACTGGACTGATACCCTCAGTACAATTGTTGTCCTTTATAACATGGTATGTAGTATTGATTCTCCCATCGTGTGTTGTATCATCTAACAGAGACTTATTGGTGTAGTAAGTTTTATGAAGTAATCCTTTATGAAATTAATAAGTGCAAAATGAGGAACAATGTTGAATTCAAGGTCATGGGGAAGATCAAGGGAAAAAAATTATGACACCCTTTGTTCTCACCAATTTTTATAAAAAGTTTGATAAAAGAATATCTTGAACATTTTTTTGAAGCTAAGGTAACTGCAAAATGAGGGAATAGTCAAGGTCATTAAAAAGATAAAGGTAAGAAAATATATAGTTTACATTGTAATACGTTCTATTTCCATTAGTGAACTCTTCAAAATTAGAGGCGCGTTTTGTCGTCTGACTGGGACAGCATGGCGTGGTGGATAATACAAATCATGCCAATCTCAATCCAATTTTAAATGTTAAATGTATTTATCATTCCAGTTAAAGAATAGAAGAACTAAAAGACATATGTAAGAGAGCGAGAACATTAAATTGATCATCCATTAATAAAATATACGATATTTCCGAGGCACGTGTATCGTATTTAGATGTACCAAACGATAAATAGATGCATATACGATCAACAATAGATATAAATTGATATCGTTGTCATTCCTACTCTTGATGTATAGAAAGTCTACAACAATAAAATATTTCATTTGCATTTTCTTAGGAACTGTTCACCGACATTCAACATATTGTTTACATGTTTTATGTTACGTTTGTCCCAGAAATCCCGCGAGATTTGTACATTTTCCGACTTTTTCACAAAAGAGTGCACTAAGAAGTATAACTCTTCCATAGTGGAAATAGAACGTATTGCTGTCACCAATAAGTCTCCTAATATATCAGGTTTGATTGAAAAATCTTCCAAGTGTAGTTCAACGTCATGGGAAGGTTGAGTCATAATGAAGATCTAGGTCAGAAATTTCTGTTAGTCAAACGGCTCTAATCAATAACTAACTTTGTACAAGTTTGATTGAAAATGTCTTGAAATATGAAGTTATTTAAGTCACAGTGGGAAGTTCAAAGTCAGAAAATTATGAAACAATTGAATACCTCTCACCATTTCCTTTCAGCAATTTGATGAAAATACTTTCTTCTAAACTAAATGCACAAAAATTAATGGTGAGGTCAAGGTCATATGAAAGGTCAAGGTAAAAAAAATTGATTCAGTAAAAAAGCTCTTATCAATTTGCATCTTCGCATGAAGTTTGATGAAAATATCTGGGAAATAATTGTGAGGTCAAAGGGCTAGTCAAGTGCAGATAATGTTGACACAGTTGAAAAGCTCTCATCAATTTTTATCTTTGAAGTTTGAAAAAAATATACTGAACAACTTCTTTGAAACTAGGTTAAATGCAAAGTGAGAAATACTGGAGTCAAAGTAATAGGAAATAACAAGGTCAGAAAATTATGGCAGTTAAAAAGCTCCCAACTATATGCATCAGTGTACAAGTTTTGATAAACGGATCTTCAGTAGTTACTTTGAAACTGAGCTAAATGCAAAATAGGGAATGCTGGGGTCAAGATCAAAGTGAATGTCAAGATCAGAAAATAATGAAGCAGTTTAGAAGTTCCCACAAATATGAGTCAGTGTATGAGTTTTGATAAAAATATCTTGAACAGATATTTTGAAACTGACCTAAACACAAAATTGGGAATAGCGAGGTCAAGGTCAAAATGAAAATCAAGGTCAGAAAATTATACCACAGTTGAATAGCTCTCAGCAATATGTGTCAGTGTATAAATTTTGGTTATACCTTGAATGGTACTGAGCTAAATGCAAAGATTGACGGACAGACAGAAGTGGGCAAGACAGAGATGACAAGCACTATATGCCCGGACCATATTTAATGGAAAGGCAAAACAAACTTTATAATAAGCTAATCAACTTTATATTAATAATTTATAACATAACTCCAGTCAGTTGACATCTGTATGTAATCATTCAGAATGAGAATTGTTCCAAGTATGATGTATTTTCTTTCCATTTGGAGGATAATAAGCAATGACTAAAATTAATCAAGTTATTACATAAAAAGGATTTTAATAGATAGATGTACACGTACTTAGATTCTCTGATAATATTTAAATCAGTTCAATACAAAGTTAAAAAAAAAAACAGAAATACAGATGACGTCCAGACATTTTTACTATACAGATTTAAGTCTACTAAAAGGAATGTAGAGTCAACTATAATAGCACAGAAAACACTTGTCACAAACAGATGTGACACAGCATAAATTGATTCACATTTCTACTTAGGCTGCAAGAAATTGTTCATACTAATACTCAAGAATGTATGGAAGAAAATATCTTGCAGAATACAGTGATTTCCCTAAGAACCGTCTACCGGCCAAATTGACCGCTCCAATTAATAAAAATGCTGCTTTGAAATAAAAAAAAAAATTGTTTTAAGGCCCACAGAGATTTTTCATGAACCTCAACCTAAAGCCTGTTACAATTGATCTCTAACCCTTTACTCTGAAATAAAGGGAAAACACTGAGAATGGCATTTGCTATTTATTTTACACCCTAAAATAGGTCTATATGAAACAAACACTAATTAAACAAAATTTATGAAGATGAACACTTTAATATAATTTCACTGGATTTATGGGAGTGAATATATGATAAGATTTATACAATTACATGTATTCAAATAAGTGCCAAAAATATGGCTGCTATGTACGAAAACTTTAAATAGTCAGTTTTTTTTTCCCCACAGAAGAAAAATTTATATTACAGTACATGTAGGTAATATAATCTAGATGTAGTTGTAGAAGCCAAATGTGTATGCATTAAACCAAAAAATATATACAAAATATCCATTGTACATGTATCTGTTCTTTCAACACAGCAGAAATCTTATAGAACCCATTTTGGAAATTCAATGTATGCACTGACTTGTATTGTTATTAATAATTCATCACAGTTTTGAGTCACACAATCCCTTCTGTTTCACTTCTCTCTCTCTCTCTTTTCAACTCTCTCTCTCTCCCAGTATCACAGAGAAATGATTATGATCAATGGAAAGCATACAACATTAATAAGATGGTACATGTGGCTATCACACTAGCCAAGATGATGGTGTCTCTCCGCTTACGCAGGTTGATTTTTTGCATTAAGTTGTTGATTACAGGAAAACGATCTATTAATTTAGTTAAGGAATATTTTTCAGTATATGGAATTAAATTTTTTTTTCATTTTTTTGTTCAAGCACATGTGCAGTAGTCAATGTGATGAAGACAAATATATAAAGGATACTGGCTAATGAATTCATTCTCTGTGTAATTCCACCTAACATCCTCTTCTGAGATTGCAAATTTTCTTTTGTGGCTATAGCAACACTGAAATATAAGAGGACAATTATCAACTGTAATAAATTCATGAAACTAGAAAACTGATAGTCACCTGTTTCTATCAAAAGTTTTGAAATTGATCTTTGATCAGTAACCTCAAAATCTTTAGCTTCCTGTTCTGTGGCAAACATGAGTCTATAAGTGGATTAAATTTATTAAATCATCAGGAATTTGATGCTCTCTGATTGGTCTAGACACCCCTTCCTGAGGTACCTCTGAGTGAAATCACCTCAAAATGAAGTTCCGGGAGGTTTATTAGGGTTTTCCTTCTTGACCAACCATAGGTTTGCTTATATTATTTTGACCAATCAAATTGTGCATTTTAAAGCATGTGTGCACTGTGGTTGTGAATGTAAACATGGCAGATCCTAGTACTGAATTGACTAAACTCCATTATTAGTAAATGGTTGAGTATGTATTGTATTATTACATTATTCTCTGTTTTTAAACACTTGTTAAACTGTTGAAACATATAATGTGTTGGTACACTACACATTGTATTATAAGTGTTTATATTCGCAGGAGACAATAACTTAAGTGCCAAAAATGTAAAATTCCTGAAAATTTATTAATACAATGGTCAATACTGACTTTTGACTTCTGTCTACTCGTGACTATAGTATACAAACCTGGTTAGGTATTGATTAACTCAGCCTTTGGCCTCAGTCAACCATCACCACACCAGACCACATAATCACAAGTAGACCTCATCAGAAGTCAACAATTATACAAAATATACTTTAGTTTTTTTGTTACAAGAAAGTGATGACAGAGGGACAGAATGAATAACAATGTGATTTTTAATAATACTTTGATGCAGGGTCCTTCATTAAGTCTAAGGTGAAAAATAAATTAACTAATTAGACCTTTATTGTTTTACAATGTTTCATACTATTTTTAAATTATGATGCCACAGGTCTGTTTCTCTGCAGTTGAATTGGAAATTTTTTAGTCTCTAAATTGGAAAAATTATTTTTTGGCATTGAGAACCAGTTAAATAACAAAAGAAAGCATAATCTTAAAAAATTGACATCTTTCAAATGTCATTTGGACTGCATTTTTTTAGTAAGTTATCGGTCTAGACAATTTTTTCCAGCCTTGCCGACAGGACCATCGGTTTTCAACAACTCTGCAAAGTATTAATTTATTAGTTTCATTCATTCAAAAGACATCCTTACCTAATCTGATCATCAATGAGCCGATCGGAGCTGTAAATAGATAAAATAGTATCCTTTTAATTTACTGGAATTAAAAAATTCATTATCAAGGATGTTCCATAAATTATGAATATGACATCAACTTCTATATCAACAAGATACATTATGCTCAAGTCTAAAATTTGGGCATTGAATAAGGCTGGGTATTTGCTATCGATTTCATATTGCAATATATTGCAATATTTTTAACTGTATTGCGATATGTATTGCAATATTTTCAACAAAAATTTAAATATTTTTTTTATTGTATTTTAATTTCCTTTTACAAGTAGAATGTAAATAACTATGATAAATAACTAATAAAATATATCTTGTTGATTGAATTACAGTAATCCAACTAAATGTACCGACATTACAGCTTTTGTCTTACTGTTTGGCATGATTGCAAACCTTTCTGACAACTATTCTTTATATTTTATGAAAGAATTTCTGAGTCCAAGCATTTTGCTGTTACATCGGTTTTACAAAAACATAACACAATAAGACATTTTTTGTCAACATACCGCAATGTACAGGAATATGGGTATTTTTGCCCAGCCCTAGCATTGAACTGCCCAGTTTGAATTGTGTTGTATGTATTTTTCCAAATTGTTGGTAACAAAAGACAACCAATATGTGATGAGTGTTTACATGTATGTATGTATGTTAATTTCCGAATTTTCTACAGAAGTGTTTTTCTTAATTTTAACAGCCCAGGCCCCCGATTCAGAAAGTAGTGTGAGAGCCCTGGGAGAAAATATTGACTAACCTTCTTATATGTTCATTTTCCTTCAGATAAAGATCTGTTCTTCTATTCAGACCAGAAGAATTTTTGTATGCACTGAAATGTCAAATAATATGTATAGCATTCAAAATCACACTCCTCAGAATTTTAATATTTACAACAATTGCTATCCACCTAAGTTTTATTGACACCATTCTTGACTACATGTACTGTCAAACTTAACAACAGGGTTGCAAATAACCATTCACTCACTAGCAAAAGTTAGTAATTTTGTCTGTGGGAGACCAACCCTAATCGCTCACATGGAAAGTAATAATTTTATTGGAATTTTTCCAGAACCTGACCATACTTTGATTCTACAATTAAATGCAGTTTAATTTTCACCGTTTCCTACCAACAAAATATTCTCTGGACCCTGAATTGCCTTAACGTTATAATTTTTGTGAGGTCTCTAAATGAAGGAAAACATAAATTTCATGCAATGTCATTCATTCTTAGTGCCTCGTTCATCAGGGATTGGAAATGAAAGACTTTGGACAGCAAATTACCGGTATACTTCTCATAGATTAAAATACAAAAAGATAGAGAATTTTTTTTACAAAGTGAAGACAAAATTTTAGGCCCCAACATATCAGTGTGGGCTAGTAAAACTTGTAAAGTTAGGGGTCCACATGGCCCATAAGGTTTTAAATGTTATTTGCAACCCTGTTTACACACTTTAAGTTGACACTAGAGGTGAGTTTTTGTAGATCTTCAGTGAAATTACTTTCAATTAAAAAAGAATTTGTTTCAAAAACTACATCATCTGTGGTCTCTTTATAATCTTGCAATCCAAGAAAAATGATATTTTGTATTAAAAAAATTCATGTACTTAAATGTAATTCCAAAGCAGTAGTTCTTTCCTCAGAATTTGTATGAAGTGAAATGTGCCTTTTCAGTGCTTTAATTTTAGTTTCTACTTATGTAGATAATGCACAGAATACATGAAGATTTTAATCTAACAATAGTGATTAGAGCATGTTGAGTGCAAACAAAATACCTGGTTTTACCCAGCATGTGTGAGCTGTGAAGAAAAACCTTTTTTTTCATCATTTCATATAACAGATGCAAAAACTTACTAAAATACAAGTATTATTTAGTTACTTGATGTCTCTGTGCACAGATCCCAGAAGATCTTCCCTCTCCCTGAGGGTTGTGATATTGGACTTGGTTTTCTGGAATTCATGTGAGTAATCCTGGAGGATATCTCTGTGTCTCTGTAGGGTATGGAGGAGGGCAGCACTAGGAGAATTGGTTCCAATGTTCTGTGTGTAATCTGCCATTCTGTCATTTGTCTCCTGAAGCTATTACAACTTAACTATTATTATGACTACATCTGTTTTGAAATGTGATTATGTTCAATAGGATTTCTTCAAACATGAATATTCAGTTTCCAAGGATTACAATTCTTCTATTACAAGGTGTGTTTCATATTTAATACTGGTACATGTATTACACAATTCCACACAAAGATACTAGCATGTAAAAAGATATAAACCTTAAAATCATCTTCAGCAAAATTTTTTCAATTGTTGAATTCAAAGTTTGCTTAAGAATTGTTCTTAAAAAAATTGCACTTTAGGGCTATAAATGGTCATTACAATGGGGGTATTGAATTCAAGCTCCATATGTATGAAATCTTTTAAGAATGACAACTCAAGTATTAAACTAAAATCTTGCAATTACCACTACATATTTAATGAATTTGAAATGTCAAGAAGACTATTCATTCTAATTAGACTTCTCTCTTCATCTTTAAATCTACATGTACTTCATTAATTTCTCCACACCTTAGATAGTAGTTGTTCAATCTCCATTGCCATGGTGTCAAACATGTGTTCACTGCTGGATCGCTGTATCAAGGGAGAGGACTCACTGCAACAAATATCCAATATGAGTTGCTTTTTTTAATCCAATTTATAAATAAAGAAAAATAAGAAATGTACAAAATATGCAAATTAAAGCTTCTGGAAGAACTAAGAAAGGTTTTATTTTCTAAATCATGTGCTGAGGATGCACTACAACATAATATTCAATGAAACAAGTAAATGATAATGAAATAATCTTAAGACAAAAATCTTTACCTTCCATAATCTGTGTGAGAGGAGTAACTAGTTCCTAGTTTACTAAAGGACACCAACTTTAAATCAATTTCATTTTCTAGCTGTCTTGCCTGTTTTCTTAAATCTGAAAACATATCAAATGCTTATTAATGACATGCTTGAAAAGGAATTTATAGATCTGGCAGCCTTTCAAGGAAAGGAAAATTTATGCCTTTTTTTCATTGATGGCTCCACTGCAAATTTACTTGACAGAAATTTTTACAAAACATTGTAGGTAATCAAAGATTACAGAGCTAACCTCAACAAATGTTACCTTTAAGTAAGGCAAAGCCCTTCACTTAACTAATAATTTAGAAGTGTGCATCCCTAGATGCAATTTTTATTTTGGTCCAGGGATAGACATTAACTTTTAGATTTACTTGCCCTTTGGGCAAGTGATCTCAGACTTTGACTTGTCCGAATGCAAAACTTGGTTGCCCAAAATTAGGGAAGAAAAATATTATTTATTACTGTAAACTGAGAAGAAACCAGAAGTCTCTGATGAGACTGTAGCTCTACTGGTCTGTACGTATAACAAAAAGAAAAGTAGCACTTGGATTTGAAACTTTGCAACATGCAACAATAAATAGAATTATGTATCTTAATGTAGTCTACTTCTGTGCCAAGGTATATTGAAATCAAACGAAAACAGTAGGAGGAGTAGCGTTTTGAAAGTGTTTCACGGAAATTTCTATTTTTAGTAACCATGACAACACCATTCACCAAAATAAAAAAAACAGAAAAACATATTATGTATCTTAGTGTATTCTCTCTGTGTGCCAAATAAGATTGAAATCAGACCAAAATTGTAGGAGGAGTAATGTTTTATTTTAAGTAACCATGGCAACACCGTCCATCGAAATCAAAAACCGATGCACTAAATTATGTATCTTAGTGTAGTCTACTTGTGTGCCTAGTTATATTGAAATCAGACCAAAACTGTAGGAGGAGTAGCGTTTTAAAGGAATTTCACAGATATTTCTATTTTTAGTAACCATGGCAACACCGTCTATCGAAATCAAAAACTGATGCACTAAATTATGTATCTTAGTGTAGTCTACTTGTGTGCCAAGTTATATTGAAATCAGACCAAAACTGTAGGAGGAGTAGCGTTTTAAAAGAATTTCACAGATATTTTTATTTTTTAGTAACCATGGCAAAACCGTCCATCAAAATCAAAAACCGATGCACTAAATTATGTATCTTAGTGTAGTCTACTTGTGTGCCAAGTTATATTGAAATCAGACCAAAACTGTAGGAGGAGTAGTGTTTTGAAAAATTGTTTACAGACAGACGGACAGACAGACAGACAGACAGACAGACGGACGGACGACGGACACCTTACTATCGCATAAGCTCTTCTGGTCTCTGACCAGTAGAGCAAAAATGTGACCAAATACACAAATACACTGTTGGCAAGTTGAGCTACATAAAAAAGTAATTTCGATGCTTCATTTCAGGGGTGTGCAATTACAAAAATTAGTTACTAGCCCGTTGGGCTAGTGGCAGTAACAAAGTTACTAATAGCCCGAGGTTTCCAGTCACTAGCCCATTAACTACCGAAAACAATACATGTATAACAAAAAGGTTAAAAAAAAAAACCATTTAAGTTGAAATAAATAAAACAAATAATGGTTTGCGCTTTGTTATCGTCAGGTACTTCTCCCTATTTTTATCGACTATAATTGTCACTGAAACGACTGGCGATAGCAACACACAAAACATATAAGTTAAAACGAATTAAAGATTAGGTGGCAGAGGATAGTATTTTTGGCAATCAAAACATTTGACTGACGGTTTCCTTAATATTGAGCTGCTTTTAAAATGTGCATTGGAAAATTTTAAATTCTCTCTACATGTAATAATAGTATGGTCTAGTCCCTTGAGGAATTTGAAGCTTTTAGGAATAAAACATGTACAACTTGCACAATGAGCCCTAATTATGGCACAGGGACAATCTCAAAATTTCATGTAAAGTAAGCCTATTTTCACTATTTCGCCGGATGCGCAACTGCTTCCAGGGCCGTGCTAATGCCCTAAGCTACCACACAAATTGCAGACCGACACTTGTACATACCACTGAACAGCAAGAGATAATGGCTCAACCACCTCGTTTTCAAGCTACAATTCATCCTATGAACCCACCCCGCTTTTCTGGTGAAATACCTAGAGTGATTTTTGATCTTAGTTTCGTATTTCTAGTCCATATCCCATAAACAGTAGTAGTGACACTAAAGAGTCATATATCAATAAAATATACAAGGCCAGCAATTCCCTCCAAATGCACACATAAAATATTCTAGCAATAAAATTACCTATAATATACATTCAAACCTTAGGTTCCTCTACTTTTTCTAATTTTTGACGGTACTTAATCCGAAACTATCCTCTGCCACCTTATGATTTTACAACAAAGTTAATTCGTACATCAATTCAGTCGATGTAAATATACGTATACTTTCATTTTAGATTTACTAGCCCGATGGGCTAACGCAATATAGATTTATGATAGCCTGACCTCTAAAATTGGTAGCCCCGGGCGTCGGGCGATGGTAATTGCACACCCCTGCTTTGTTTGTACATGTGTATCACTGTCCTTGTCAATTTAATATGTTAACACACTGCCATGCAGCATTATCCCTCTGTTTTCTTTTAATAAACTTCATATTTTTAAAAATTAATTTCCATAGAATCCTTTTGTGAATCGTGATTTTCAGAGATAATAGGCAACAGTAAAGGAAGACAGTTGCTATGAAACATACATATCTGGATTGGGATACATTGTGTTACTTATATTCTGTGAATGAATTTCCTAATTAGAAGTTAACAAATTTGTTATACGTAGAGCGTACCACAAAAGAAAACAGAATAATGAACCCAACTTTTTTTAAATGGTCCATATATTCTAGAAACGCTACCAAGGATTTCCTAATGTAAATCAATGTCAGTCAGGTATCTGGCGGAAATCAAGTATTCAATTTATTGTTTTATTTATAAATTAATGTAAACTTACTAAATATATGCATTTGTATGGGAAAAATTCACTTGCCCGATCGGACAAGTACGTTGACAGTTTCACTTGCCCGAAACGAGGATTTACTTGTCCCGGGCAATTGGACAACCATTAATGTCGATCCCTGTGGTCCAGATAGGACTTGCAGTCAATGAATGGACTTGTACGAAAAACATAAACTGGTCACTCATTCAGAAAATGCAGGTCAGATGTAGCATACAAAGTAAGTCCATCAGTATGCTTCCCTTGAAGTAACATCCATGCATGTTTGGTCCAGGTAGGCTTATAGTCACTTTGGAATGGAATTGCTCTAAAAACTTAACATGGTCAAACTCAATCATCTGGAAAGTATACATCCAGCATCCAAAGCAAGTCTGATAGCATGCATCCCTAAATGTATCATCAAAGGTGTTAAGATTGGTCATGATGGCATTGATTTCAGTGCAAATTCCTAAGGGAATGACTGTAATACTTCTCTGGCACACAGTGGGGGTGGGGGGTGGGGGGTGTTCCATGCTATACCTCTATAGTGCTATCAAAGGCAGCTCCCTCAACCTCATAACTTGGACATTTCAAGAAAAGCTTCAGTAAGAATTGCTGATTTCATTTATTGTGGGTAAACCAAAGACTGATAAATTTTACACAATGTTTAATAAATTTTCATTTTTTTCAGCAGTGTACCTTAAAGTTGGGGGTACAGATTAACATGATTAACGCAAACTCTAATAATACATAGAATTTAATGAATTATTCACATTAAAACAGTTATTTATAATTGAAATCAGACAAGATTGAAATCATGCACTTTCGATGATTCTGTTTGATGGGTTCCTTGAGTATGCAAACTGATATAATTTCGTATATTTGAAATATATCTTGCATTTCATTCCATTTTATTTTGAAACTTGAAGCTTTAGTACTTGTCTCAGATTTCCTCAAGACATGCAAGCATATGATGATTATGATCCTTTCGAACAAGGTGGCGGATCAAAGTGCAGGTAGATCCAGGAATGAAATCACTTTTTCCAGAATTGTGTTGTGTATGTTGAATTGGTTGTGAAATACTCATACCACTTAATCCATTAAATACAATAGCACACTTGTTTTACATGGGCTAATTTTTTAATGCAACCATCTCATTCATACTTCTGCTTTGTTTGAACACCAGGGCATTTACAATCGATCTCGGTCTGTGTTTTAATATCACGTGCAGTTTGTGCTGAAGGAGCGACTGTGCAAATGACCAAGACACAAGACACTGACAAATACTTTGTTTCGTTTGTAAGATATTTATTGCACAGAGAGGCACGACAGCCTCATTGCTGTGTGACTTGACTGTTATGCCTCTCTGTATAATAAATCCCTTACAAACGAAACAAAGTACTGTAAATATAACATCCAGGCGTTATAAATGTGCAACTCAATCAAAAGATTAAAAATAAAACATTATCCGTTTGTTTAAGTTTAAAACATATATAACCCACCTCCTCAAAACAAAAAGACTTCTACCACCAACAACAAAGACATGCCATGAAGAATAACACCACAGTCATGCTAATGTTATCTGGTAATACCAGTCAGTTTGGCTGTCATGATACAAACATTACAAGTGAGCTATTTAATTATCCTTGTGAAGCCAATATCATCTTAATTTTCCTTATCTTAAAAAAAGAGTACTACTACACATTGCTGACATAAAAACTTTTGACAATTGCTTATAAATGAAAATTAAAAACATGTTTACAAAATCACACCTTCCCAAAGGTTCCCCATGTCGGCCATATTATTTCCACCGTGTCGAATTCTCGCGAGAGATCATCGGTCTAAACTCAATGAAGCTGATATAATTGGAAATGAAACGGGGATGAAACACAAGATTTATTTCATTATTTTTCAAAAGTATGTACTTGATTCATTGATTTTTTAATAATTTTTATGTCTTAAGTAAAGATTAAAAAAAAATATTAGAATTAATCAAAGTAATAATTAGTAATTTTAATTATAAAAAATAATAACTGATCCCAATGTCATTCCTGTAACTTTCTTAATTTCTATACGCAAGTAAAATGATCTTGTAAATCTTTTGCCTAGTTGTCATTAAACTATGTGCAAATTAATGAGGAAAAAAAGAGGCCCATGTGCCACATCGCTCACCTGAGCACTGTGACTAGGAAAAAAAAAGCAAAAATCAGTTCAGTATTGAAAAGCTTTAATGCATAAGTGGTCCCGATCCTACCCCTAAAAGGGGGTGGGTGGGTTATGATTTGAACAAAATTGAATCTACACTAATTAAAGATGCTTCCATATTTGACTAACTGTGACTTTTTCCCCTACAAGTTTGAACTTTCATTATGGTACCACATACCCTACCCCCGGGGGTCGTGATTTGAACAAATCTGAATCTACACTATCTGAAGATGCTTCCATATAAATCAAAGCTTTGCTGTTCTTGAGGAAAAGATTTTTTTTTTTAAATTCCTATGTATTCCTAACTTTAATCATCAATTGTGGGCCCACCTATACCAGGGGGTCATGATTTTTATCAAACATGAATCTACACTAACTTAGGATACTTCCGAATAGTTAATAACCAATCATGGCTGTGCTGTTCTTGAGAAGATTTTTCCTATATATATTCCTATTTAAAAATTTGATCGTCCATTGTGGCCCCACCCTACCCCTGGGGGTCATGATTTGAACAAACTTGAATCTACACTACCTGAGGATGATTCCACGTGAGTATTATCTTTCCTGGCCCAGTGGTTCTTGAGAAGAAGATTTTTAAAGATTTTTCCTATATATTGCTATGTAAAACTTTTATCGTCTATTGTGGTCCCATCCTAAACCCGGGGATCTTGATTTGAACAAACCTAAATCTACACCACCTGAGGATGATTCCACATGAGTTTGATCTTTCCTGGCTCAGTGGTTCTTGAGAAGAAGATTTTTAAAGATTTTTCCTATATATTGCTATGTAAAACTTTTATCGTCTATTGTGGTCCCATCCTAAACCCGGGATCTTGATTTGAACAAACCTAAATCTACACCACCAGAGGATGATTCCACATGAGTTTGATCTTTCCTGGCCCAGTGGTTCTTGAGAAGATTTTTAAATCATGCCATTAATTTTTCACTAATTTGTAATTATCTCCCCCTTGGAAGAGGGCATGGAACTTCATTTAATCAAACTAAAATCTCCTTTACCCAAGGATACTCTGTGCTAAGTTTGGTTGAAATTGGCCCATGCAGTAGTTCTGGAGAAGAAGATGAAATTGTGAAAAGTTTACAACGACGATGACGACGACAGACAACGGACCGATCAGAAAAGCTCACCTGAGTCTTCGGCTCAGGTGAGCTAAAAAGGCCGGTGAGAAGCAGATAGTAGATAGGTCAACAAACATAGTTATCTACCCACATCAAATAATTTCTTTTTATCATATGCACAGGTTAGCATTGACAACCCAAACACCCCCACCCCCCAGTGAATTTTGAGTATATGTTATAATGTATGGATATATATAAATTAAAGAAAAATACCAAAATTATAGTTTAAAATCATTGTCTTAAACAACTTTAGATGATTTTTTTTAACTAATGTCTCTTATACGTCTCTGTATCACACAAGAATTTCTGCATTTCAATTTCAAAAGATGGAGGGATGAACAAGTATTAATCAAAACTTCTTTAATTTTAGATTTCCTAATTAAGCCGGCGTTCTTTCGACAATATCTAATGATATCCTAGAGTAATTAAAAAATGTAATGTTTTGTAATTATTTTTATATAGTTACCTCGCCCTAATATAACCATGCGAATATGTTGAAATGAAAAATGATGATAACGAACAGCAATCAAAAGTCAATTGAAACAATACAAGTTTGGAGCAGAGCAAACACGGACCTTTAAAAAAAACTCAGAGGTGAGATCAGGTACCTTGGAGGAGTAAGCATCCCCTGTCGATCGGTCACACCTGCCGTGTACATCGTGCTCCTTGTCATGATCGGACAATCGGAAAAAATCCGCAGACAATTCAGTGTGAAAATAATGGCCTACTGATTTGTATGAAAAACGACAGTCAACATTCGACTTAATGATAGATTGAAAATTTCCTCCTGAACAGCCAAAGGGGGTAACTTCTGGAACTTCCAAATATGTGACAAGAACGATTTTGTTCAAAATGTGCATACAAATAGTAGATATATATGGCATGTCAAACGTTGCAATATTCGATCTTTTGCATTTGCATTGTATAATTTTCCATTTGCATTGTATAATTTTTATTTGTATTGTATAATTTTCTATTTGTATTGTATAATTTTTCATTTGTATTGTATAATTTTTATTTGTATTCTATAATTTTCTATTTGTATTGTATAATTTTCATTTGTATTGTATAATTTTTATTTGTATTGTATAATTTTCCATTTGCATTGTATAATTTCTTATTTGTATTGTAAAATTTCTTATTTGTATGCGATAATTTTTCATTTGTATTGTATCCGCGGACTGTTTATTTGTTTCGTTACGAAGGATTTCATTGGTCAAGTTTCAGCCTGTATCGGGTTGAAGATGTTCCGGATGCTCAAAGCAAACTGGACTCATATGTATTTGCTTGATTGATTGATTGATTATTGTTTAACGCCGAGTCGGCAATATTTCAGCCATATTTCGGCGGCATATGTATTTGCGTGCATGTTAGACGGTCATTGGATTCTAAAAAGGGAGCGCTGGTAGATGGCAAATAAATAATCTGTCCTTAGGAATGCTGACTGAGAAAATAAATAAATTGACCTTGAGTGGTGGTAACTACCCCCACCCCCAAAAAACTGAGTTTTCGGGTTTGGGCGGATTTTCTTCTTTTTGTTTTTCTCCTTGTCTCTGGTCATATTGGAAATAAATATTCTCTCCTGCGAGAGAATGAAAATAAATAATCGGATTCGACATCCCCCGAGAATCAAATGGTCGTCCCTTAGCATGCACCGCAAATAGAGGAGCCGAGTTTGTGTTTGTAGAGAGTGCGCGATCGGAATTGTGGGAAGGGTACCAGACTAAGTTTGTGATGGGCACCTGAGACCTTTATACAGACTAAATTTTATGACCAATGACATCCTTCGTAACGAAATAAATAAACAATCCTCGGATACAATACAAATGAAAAATTATCGCATACAAATAAGAAATTATACAATACAAATAAGAAATTATACAATGCAAATGGAAAATATAGAATACAAATGAAAAATTATACAATACAAATGATTTTTTTTACAACACAAATGGAAAATATAGAATACAAATAAACATTATACAATCCAAATGGAAAATTATAAAATCCAAATGGAAAATTATAGAATACAAATAAAAATTATACAATACAAATTGAAAATTATACAATACAAATGAAAGATTATACAATACAAATAAAAATTATACAATACAAATGGAAAGTTATACAATACAAATGGAAAAGATCGAATATTGCAACGTTTGACATGCCATAGATATAGTTTACTATTTGTATGTAGTGTGTTTAACTATATCCTTAAATTAGTTTCTTATATGTGTACATTTTTTAGATACCCCGACCCATAATATGTAACGAAGTTTAGTTTCCATCACTGAAAACCTAAGTTAGTCACAAGGACATTAAAAAAAAATGTTTGATTGTCCTCCAGATGAGGGTGCAGTTAGTCATTTTGATAATACAGTGTATATTGAACTCATTTTGGCGACTGGAGAAAAATCACACCGACTAGTTTAATATAGTCTATAATGACTGATTAATAGTCACCATGAGTAGACTAGCGAGTTAATATTGACTGTATTATTGTCTTTAAGATAGATTCCGAGAGTCAAAGTGACTTTCATTTCATATCAGAATGACTCTTTAGTTATATTGCTAGGCATTTTGACTATATTGAAAATCATGGCGACCATTTTGATTATCACGCATCAATGCCCTTCAGCTACAAAAATAACAATTATACAACAAATATTGGAATACAATGTAATTTATTATAATTATAACATTTTTGTTTCACACTGTACAAATTAAAAAGAGATCATATACACATACATTTATATATTTCCAAACAAATTGATTTTACTGTTTGTGAATAATTCCTTAATTATCAATCAAAGACATATAGCTTCAGTTAACCGTCTCTCGCTGCACCTTCCAGTGGTTTTCCAACCCCAGACGTAGAACTGATTGTTTTCTCCTCCAACCATTCCAGACTCTTTTTCACAGGTCCTACAATGAATAGTAGTCTTTATAATTAACATATATGTAGTTGCTAGATGGCCAAAGTACTTTTTCTCTTTAGAACAATTTTTTTTGAATAACTTTGTTTAAAAATTATTTGTCTAAAACAAGGAAACAACAAAACATATTACCTACCATTACTTCGTGTTTCCTTGGGAGGAAAATGCGGCTGATGCTATTGTTTCTTCCCGCCAAACAATTGAAACAAAATGACCATGCATACAGTTAAATTTAACTATTAAAGCTTGGTATAGTGTTGAGGAAACAGATATAGTCAAAATGTGTTTCGACTATCTGAACGAAAGTTTGATCAGAGTGACTAACTGAATTTATGTTTTCAGTGATGCAACATCGCATCGCCACGGGTGATCTCGTCTTTTACTCACCATTTACTGATGAGTATAAAGGACGAGACCACCCTTAGGTATCCGACAATGGGAAACATCGACGAAATAATTATTGTTACTTATGTCTCTGGAAGTGAAAATATACTTGCTTTATTTAATTAACATTCATATATGTACGATACATATGAGTGTATTTTTTGGACACTAAAGATGGTTATCGTGCCGAATAGACGAAAATTTTGTTCAACCCCCCCCCCCCATACATGTATATATAACCATATACATTCCATACATTCCACCCCCACTTGGGTACCATATGCGCTTTAACAACAAACAAAATGAAATGATTTATTGTGAATTTTTAAAAGTATAAGCCTTTCAGCATTACATTTGAAAAGAATTTGAATAAATACTAGTAGAAAAAAATATTAACTTTAAAAAATTGATATAAAATTTCAATTTTTCATTTGTCAAACGTGTTGGAGTTCCATCACATTATAAATGAAAAGCACATTGTGTTATCAAACAAAATTTTATATAGATTTATACATGTAGTGTAAATAATTGTGAAGTCAAATTGCATCAATGTACATTTTCAAAAGTACAGATCTAGATAATAAACATTTGACATACAGCACAAATATATTGCAATTAATCTACCTTTAAGACGCATTGATAAAAAAAAAATCCATGTTAAATTCACAACCCTCTTGCTTGAATTACATTGCCTGCATGCAAGATATGACGGTTTCAAATACACATGAATGTATATTTAAGATGAAAACTGAATTTATATACGCATACCTCTAGTTGTGACTAAATACTAGCTATAAGTATATACGTAGTATATTTTAATTGTGAGGTGGAATATTGTATTATAATCTTATTTTTCCTTTGTATAATAAAATTCTTTGTAATTAATTGTTATGGAACGCCATAGCTGCCTGAAGGTCATTTTCATTTTATATGAGGTGGTATAACCTTTATGTGAAGTGGTTAAGTCATTATATATAGTGGTAAAATCATTATATTCAATGAAAACTTTATTATATGCAGTGGTTTTATCTTTATATACAGTGATAAAATCATTATATACAGTGATAAAATCATTATATTCATTGATGACTTTATTATATGCAGTGGTTTTATCATTATATTCAGTGGCAATGTCATTATATGTAGTGGTTAAATCATGTAATGAAGTGATAGTACCGTTACATTATGCTGTAAAATCATTATATGCAGTGGTTTTTCCATTATATACATTACTGATATATCTTTCTGTGATGTGATAAATTCAATATATACAGTACAAACATAATTTGTGTGATAAAGCAATCATTACATATTAAGTATCTATTATGTGCAGTACTAACATCATTATATTATATAGTAAAATTATTATATATATTCCTAAAATCATACTTTGCAGTAGTAACATCTTTATATGAGGTGGTTAATTAATCATATGATGTTGTTAATTTGTTAATATGATGTGGTCAATTCTTTTTATGCATTAGTCGTTTCATGTTATGCAGTGGTAACTTCTTTATCATCATCTAAGCTGGTCCTCTTGCAAAAACATTTTTAAAAAATGCGCGGAGTTCCAGTTTAAAGAGTGTTTGAAAATAGGAAACCCGGACCGTGGCAAATTAAAAGCCGGGACTATTCGAGATTTTTCAAATTTCTTATTTAAAATTTCCAGACTCTTTTTTTAGGCTAATGTGTTTTCGCTGTAAAAATTGTATTTAAATACTTGGTATTTTAGATTTTCTTTACGATTTTTGGTTTCAAGTAAAATTGGTAGACAGTTTCAATTTTCTGATTTAATATTTTATCCATTGTGCTATAAGTACTTAGTATTTTAGATTTTTTTTGACGATTGTTGATTTCTATGTTGGTAAAATGGGTAGACTGGGTTGGCGATATTTTATGTGTGTGTGTGTGTGTGTTTTTTTTGACATATTTGATAAAAATCTAATAAACTTAAAAATTATTCCGATGTTAAACACTGTATTTTAACTAAAAAAACTTTTTCTTTTTGATAGTTATTTCTTTATTTGAAAATGCTATTTTTATGCAAAATACACATTTTCATTAGAAAAGGGATTATTAAACCAGATCCGATCATCCGGGAAGAACCTGGTGCAAAACACCATAAATCATTTCTAATTTCATAATATGCAAATGTGCACTGGTACATGTATCTATTTGTTAGTAGATGGAAAGAAACTGGATTACGTTAAATATGTAATTTGTTTAATACTTTTTTCGGGGGTGGGGGGTGGGGGGTGTTAAATTACTAATATCAACTATTTATAAGACTGTTTCTAGGACTTCAGAAAACCTTAAATCACATTGAAATGCTTAAAATAAAAATTGCTGCATGAAAACATTTCATTTTCAAGTTTCATCTTTGCCGTCGCCAACGTGGCACGGTGATTAGAGTGTCTGCTCTAAGAGACGCGGAATAAGGAGTCAATCCTTACGTCACGGGTTCGAATCCGACAGTGGGACGTTGAGACCGGTCCTTCGTAAGAGACCGCATAAAGCCATAAACCGAGGTCCCGTTCCACAGTAGGTGTTGGCACGAAAAAAATCCCTCACTGCTCAATGGCCGCAAGTGTCGAGTATAGGACAAAATTTGCAGCTCTCCACTGGCAAATTGTGGCGTCTCCATATGAGTGAAAAATTCTCGAGAGGGACGTTAAACAGCAAACAAACAACCAAATTAAAATCATTTTAGCCTTTTTGAATAAAATGATAAAATTAAGAGTTATCCTTCAAGGCTGAGGATCGGATATCCTTAAACCAAGCAACTTACGCGTGATTAAAGTTTGACACAAGGCTTTGCATTAATAGTCCTATAATTACATGTATATGTGATAATTCTTTAATTAATTTATATTTTATCAAATGGCATGTAGATAATGAATAAGTATTTCGGATTTTTTATGTTTGACTTCCGGGAGATCAAATCCGATTTTAATGAACCATTGGCGTCGGAAGGAAATTGATAGTGGGGTGGCTAATTGAAATAGAAAAAAAAAAATCAAACCTGAAAAAAAACTTGACAAGCAAAAAAAAAAAGGAAAATTGTTCTTTCTCCAAACCCGAAAATCCTATTTCGGGGGTGTGGGTGGGTGGGTGGAGGGGGGGGGGTCGAACATCTTTCAGTACCAAATTCTTTTAAACACTACCAATTACCCTTCTTTCACTACAATGAATCGTGCCTGTAGAAAGTGGGGAGGGGGGGGGCTAGACCTACGCCCGAATTTTCAATGCCTATATTATGTCTACCTTTGTAAAAAAAAAAAAAGAGGGGGGCAATAGCCCCCCCCCCCCCCCCGGCTCCGACGCCTATGTGAACCGGTTTTTCTTAAACGTGTCATTTCACTCAAAAAATGCCTTTCAAAGAATGAATAATTTTTAACATCAGAATAATTTAAAAGTTTATAAGCTTTCTGTCAAATATGGCAAAAAAAAAAAAAAAAACACAAACAAACAAACAAAAAACAACAAACAAAACACGTAAAATGTCTACTTGATTGCCTACCCGATTTACCAACCTCACGGGCGGATTCAGAGAGGGCCTATGGGGCCCGCCCCCCTCCCCCCTTGTGTCCAAAATATACATAAGATTTAATAAATCAATTTTTTTTGGTTTGGCTGTGGGCTACCTACCCCGACCAAAAACTTGTCGGGCCCCCCTTTTCAAGATTCCTGGATCCACCACTGAACTTGGAAATCAACAATCGCCAAGAAAATCTTAATTACTAAGTATTTTAAAATTAAATGCAATTTTTACAGCGAATACACATTAACCTATAAAAATGAGTCTTAAAATTTCAGCACAGTTGATAAAATCAGGAAGCTGTATAATAGAATCAGAAATTAGAAAAATCTCGAATAGTCCCGGCTTTTAATTTGCCACGGCCCGGTTTTCCTATTTTCAAACACTCTTTAAACTGGAACTCCGCGCATTTTTTTAAATAAAAGGACCAGTTTAGATGATGATAAAGAAGTTACCACTGCATAACATGAAACGTCTAATGCATATAAAGATTTGAGCACATCATATAACAAATTAACAACATCATATAATTAATTAACCACCTCATATAAAGATGTTACTACTGCAAAGCATGATTTAAGGAATATATATAATAAGTTTACTATATAATATAATGATGTTAGTACTGCACATAATAGATTTTTCACTTCATGTAAATGTGTCGCACTGAATGAAATTAACTTGGCACTCCACATGCAGCAGGTTTCATACAATGTAATGATTGCTTTATCACACAAATTATGTTTGTACTGTATATATTGAATTTATCACATCACAGAAAGATATCAGTAATGTATAAAATGGAAAAACCACTGCATATAATGATTTTACAACATAATGTATCGATATTATCACTTCATTACATGATTTAACCACTACATATAATGGCATTGCCACTGTATATAATGATAAAACCACTGCATATAATAAAGTTTTCAATGAATATAATGATTTTATCACTGTATATAATGATAAAACCACTGCATATAATAAAGTTTTCATTGAATATAATGATTTTACCACTATATATAATGACTTCACCACTTCACATAAAGGTTATTCCACCTCATATAATATGAAAATGACCTTCAGGCAGCTATGGCATTCCATAAATTGTGTATGTTTTAAGTTTAAAAACTTTCTGGGTATTTAAGGTTTAACTTGAGATAAAAATACAAAATGTGTACGTGTATTTAAGGAATGAATTTAATAGCTACCCATTTTATAGTGGTATAAACTGGGTTGGGACAGTTTACGCTTTATAAACCGCGAAGCGGTTTATAAAAAAGCGTAAACTGTTCCAACCCAGTTTATACCGTATAAAATGGGTAGCTATTAAATTCATTCCTTATAATTTAATTTTCATTATAGTATTTAGTATAAGAAAGAAAGATGATTACCCTTAAATATAATGACTTCAATTTGTACAAAATTTGAATGTAACGTCAGGCGGATCGATACGTTTATGACGCAAGTCATTGTGACGTAGGCAACCCAATTTATACGATATAAAGTAAATTTTTTATCCAATTAAATACAGCGTTACAACCAGAATTAAATTATATATATGTAAATACAAAGAAACCGACATAAAAGATACACACAAAGCCGTATTTATATGTACATTGTATGTGTTGGAGGTGGGGGTGCGAAACATTTATTACATTACTCTTTCTTTAATATATCCACAGTCTGATAAAGATCATACCTTCACTAGCTCCTTTTCATTTTGATTGTCACGATCACGCGACAATCAAATTTTAATCAGACTGTTAACGTGTCACACCCTGTACAAAACAGTTAATACGAGTTATTTCCCTTTAATATTGTACGCACTGCTGAATTTTGCTACACAATGTTAATGTTATTTTAAATAGCAAAATGATTCCAAAGGACACAGAAAAAAAGGTGAGACAGGCAATTTCCTTTTTGTATTTTTCATGTCAAGTTGCAAAGAATATGCTTAAAAACAAAATATTTTATTGCTATTTTATTTGTTTGTGTACAGCAATCAGTGTACGCCATGTTGAATAAACGTACATTCTTTGTTGTACAGCATGCGTGCAACAACATAAGCTCAGACTGAACAACAGATCGGATTACTATAAATTTTGATTTTTTTTCGATTTTTTTTCAAGTAGTTTCAGGTAAAAATGTTATGCATTTGTGTTTTATGATCGATGTATTGTATTTTGTCAATGTATGGTTGCAAAAGTACAGGGTTGCCTAAAAATGACGGCCAAAAATGACACAGTTATTTGAATTAGAGTCGCAGAAGTACTCTGGAAAACTCAATATACACGAAGGACAATTTTTTTATTTGTTAAAAAGAAAAGTATATTTGATGATAGAACTATTTTATTTAAAAATGGAATTTGTGTGCACAACACTTAATTTTTCTTCAGTCTTTTTTTTTTTTTTTTTTTTTAAATTTTGGAGTGTATATTTAGTATATAGGTCCCTGGTAAAACTAATTAAAAGTGTTAAAATGTCTTTAATGCATATGTGCAGGGACCTATATACTAAAAAGGGTTATATTATCGATAACATATAGTGCATATTAGAATACAAAAATAGGAAAAAGGTGACTTCATCCCAGATTTGAAAAGGAAAAGAAAAGGAAGGGGGGGGGGGTCCATACCGGCCCCAAGTGCCTGTGCCTATATTGTAAATTTTAAAGCATTTAGTCAAAAAACAAAGAAGTTATAGAGATATTTGTGTCAGCCAATCAGAGCAAAGCAAATGTACATGCCCATGCTTTCATACTAATTGACCCATATCATATTGTCTACACTACTAACTGACTTTCAAAGCATTTCATTCAACCATATGAATGTTAGAACTATTTTAAATTCACTCATTGTACATGCATGCACATGCCTGCAAATGGCTTTCATTCTGCACATCTATAAATCATCTCAATATTTAAAGAGATACAGTGTATCTGGCAAGCATTTTCCATTCCTATTTTATCCCATTCAGGTGAGAATTAAGCCTAACACAATGGACAATGCGACCAACAGCACACACAGACATGGAGGTGACTTGTGTTCCCTCACAGTCTGCCAGGAAATTCTTCAGCAGTTAGAAGCTGTTTTATCAGAATGTAATAAGCCACAAGCCTGTGATCTGATAGAGTATTTCCTTTACTTACATGAAAGGTAACATATTTCTTCTATTTAAAATTAAATATAGTCACTAGTCTGTCAAATTTGAAGAATTTTATTCATTTCAATTAGATGATGAATAAATTGTATTTATTTTGAATTTAGGTATAAACTTTCCAAAAGTGACCAGACTTGTTTGGACAACATCAGCAAATATTCAGGTATAAAAGTGAAAATGCAGGGGTTTTTTCTGTTTAGGTTAATACCTGAGTTACTCAGGTGACCTATTGCTGTCTGTTTTTGTCTGTCATCATGCATCATCCGTCATTCATCAGTTGTAAACTTTTGACCATTTTCAGCTTCTCCTCATAAACCACTGAACCAATTTTAACAAATTTTGATATGCAACCATCATTTATGGGTAAAGGGGAACATAGGTTCATGGTCCCTAGCCCCCCCCCCCCTTCCCCCAGGGCATTGGTTGGCATGATTTTAATGAGCATTGAGCCCTAGCTCTTCCAAATTTGTTAAATTTATGGCCCCAGGGCCAGGGGCTCTTGGGTTCTTTATTGATGGTATAGTGAAAAAGCATAAATCATTTTAAAAATTTTGTTCCCTCTCCTCGTGTTTTTCGCAGACAACTAAGTGCATGATAATGATAACAAGGGTACCTTTTCCATGATTGCAAAATTCATAGCCCCAGGGTCAGGCATTCTTGTGTTACAGCGGGGCTCTATTGATCAAATAGTGAAAATGCATTTCCAGGGTAATTTTTGTATAATGTTTATTCTCTGACTCTTGATATTTAGCAAAGAAACTATTAATAAGTACATAGTTACACCATAACCAAGGGTGCCTCTTCTGAAATTGTAGAATTCATGGCTCCTGGGTCAGGGGTTCTGGTGTTAGGGTAGGGCTTTATTGATCATACAGTGAAAATACATTAATTCTTCAAAAATCTTTCTCTCCTCTATGTATTAAGCAGGTATACTAAATGCAAGGGTGCCTCTTCCAAAGTTGTACAATTCATGGCCCCTGGGTAAGCAGTACTGGTGTTAGGGCAGGGCTCTATAGATTATATAGTGATAGGCAGGGCTCTATTGATCTTGTAGGGGAATTTGTATGCTACTTTGAGACAAGTTATTCCCTTCTGATTATTCACCTATGTTAATCACTGTATGAATTATACATGGATTGTAAATGTATAATACAAAGAGTACTTTTTTGTTGTTTTTTATGGTCAAGTAGACTTGTAAATAATAGATAATTAAAAATGAGGCAAAATTACCTTGTACATTAAATGTTTACTATGTGTATTCTGTTTCATGTGCTGATGCACAAGGTCACGCACTGTTGTATAGTCTATTCTGATGATAGAGAAAAAGTGAATGGGTCAGGAGTGTATTTATTTAGCACTAGCAAGTACAAGCAAGTAAATAGATCTTCATTTAGCTGTTGCAGAGTACTAGACTGACTATTTTGTTGATCTGTGATCATCCTATTAATTTGTCTTGTTTTGAGGCAATATATCTTCATCTGTCTGTTGATTTTTTTAAATTTAATTTTTCTGTGAATCCTTTAAAGGTTCATGTTATACTCAGGTGACTGTTAAAGCCCTGGGGCTCTTGTTTCTTTTGTTTGTTTGTGTGTGTGTGTTTTTAAATATGGTATTGGTCTTTTTTAAATGAATTCATGTATTCTGTTTTAAAAAGCCCCACTGCATCAATTCATATCCCCCCTTCCCCCCCCCCCCCCAAAAAAAAATACGAAGTAGCGAGGAATTGGAAAAATTAATACTACACCTTTAATTTCTGTATATTTTATAGGTTCTGAGGGTATATGTTTGAAAAGTACTGAAAGCAGGACAAATAAAGTTTTGAAAGATGAAGAAGATGAAACCTTATCATCCACTCCCACTCAGTCTAGTGATATTGATACAGAAAGATTCAAGTGTCCACATTGTCATGCTCAGTTTCAGTCTAAATTAAAGGTGCATATTCATCTTGCTTTAAAACATCAGGGCTGTCTGAAGAAATCACGAAAGACAAGACATGACACAGAGTTTTCCATTGGAGCAGCCTGTCCATTATGTGGGAAAATGTTCTCAAATTACAAGAAATTAAAAACCCATAAGAAAATGTGCTTACCAAGCTTAATGCAAAGGAAACCTAAAGTAAAAGCACTGTATCAAAGGTTGTATAAAAAGTCATATCAACATAGACTTGTACATCCAGGTGGCACTCAGATGCATCTGTCCCTTTACACTTGTACTTGTGGACAAAACTTCAAATGGAAAAGCATTTACTTTCATCACAAAAGAAAATGTAAATCAGGAACAAGAACAAAGGCTTCTGGGTTGCGTGAAAAAGTCAAATACTCTTGTTATCCTCAATTGGAAGGGTCTGGTGCACAAACAAAAGAAGAAGTTAGAGATTCATTGACTACCTATAGCTTGGAAGAAAAGTCTGGTGAAAGTCTCTACAGTGAAGACACTTTGTTATCAAAAAAGAATGATGTGCTAAGTAAAATTGAAAGCTTCAGTCTACCAAGCAATGACCACAAGGAAGTTGAAGAACACAGTTCTATGAAAGATCAAAATGCTGATGTCTTAAAGATGGAAAGTGTGGCATTGAATACAATCGACATAAGTCATCCCTATCCTAAATGTAAACAAGAAAGGTTGGATGACCATGAACTGGAAAGTGAGGGAATGTTTTTCAAAGGTTCTCAAAGTAAGACACTGATAAAAACAGATGGATCAAGGAGTTTGGGGGAATGTGATGGAAAGATGGTGTCAGTGAAGAGTGAACCAACAGACAATTACTTTCAGGTTGAAGGACTGAACTTATCTAAAGAATGCTTAAAGGAAAGTGATAACAGCATGAAAGAGGAAGCCCCTTCAATGATGGATAACAGAGAACCACAGGATAAGTTGAGTGAGAGGTCTGCTACTCAGATGGTAGAGGAAGTCTCTGATTGTGAAACCTTCTACATGGAAGATGAGGTAGCCATTGTTGACTTGTCAAATATGAATGTTACAGTGAGTTCTTCTGATGTACAGAAAGAAAAGTTTGCCATTGCATCAAGTGAATTGGATAATGGGGACTATGTCCAACAGAATAGTGGCAAGGGGCACCAGTATGTATTGAATCTCAGCAATAAGCCAGATTCTAGAGAAGAGAGATTAGAAATGCAGAAACATTATGAAAATACATGTGGAGTAAAACAAATTAATCAGACATGTTCACAATGTCCTAATTGTCTTGCATTTTACAAGACTTCACAAGAACTAATTTTCCATATTCAAAATTCACAGTGCAGATTTGTATTTGATTCAGCAAATACCAAAGCTATTCATCATCGACTTTGTCGAATATGTAACCTGACTCTGACCAGCTATCCTGCCTTTGCACTACACTTGCAAGAGAGACATGGACTTCAGGGTATTAACAATATGAAGGAGAATTCCCAAATGAAACCTTGTAAAATTTGTGGACAAAAGTTTCTCTCTGAAGCATATCTTAGAGAACATGTGCAAGGTAAGCACAGCAGTGTCCGAAGGTATGCTTGTACCTGTGGAAAAACCTTCAAATGGAGAAGTTCCTTCAGCGGACATAGAAGGAACTGTAGTGGAACAATATCATGCATAAATAAACCTTATCCCACTACAATGTGTAGATACACCAGGAAGAGACAGGGCTTGTTTAATGCCAATTTACCACCATCTGCAATGCCCAGAATTGACAAAGAAGCACCAGTTCAACCAGAGAAAATAGAAAATGGCTTTGGAATGGGAAAAATTCCAGGTGTGCATACTATTTTAAATGACCTAAAAGAAAAGTTTTCTAAACCTATAACTGCTGATACTGTCACAAATCTCAAAGCAAAGGGTGCCTCCACTTTGCTTCCAAGGGCACATTCAGAGGTTGTTCCACTTAAACTAGGGAGCAAGGCCCCAACAAACTCTTTGAAAACGGACCTTAACTCACCTGCCACTCAAAAAATAATTGAAAGTTTGAAGCAGCGAGCAAATTTTAAATGGCCATGCAACAAAAACATATCAAAAAGCACTTCAAAATCTGATCCTCAGATTACACAACATTCATCAAGTGATCTACGCAAATCTATCGTTGTTTCTTCTGCTTCGACAAAGATAGATTCTGGATCTCAAAAGCAAAGTCTTCCGACCAAAAGCACAGCACAGACCGAGGGCAGCATTTTCTTGCAAAATTCTGGCAGTCCATATGGAATGGTATTTCCCGTAGGAGATTCAGCAGCTAATCTGACTCAATATCTGCAATATCAAAATTCTTTTGGGTTCAGTCCTCTAAATATGCAACAATTGTATCATCAAATGTCAGCATCGTTGTCCAAGATATTATCATCACAAAATATGAAAACAAATTTGAATGAGAATAGTTTTAACAGAAGTGCAAACGGAACATCCGAAAACTTGCCAGTGCAATATGTCAACAAGTCTCAAAATAAACCACTAAACATAGAAAATCGTAACTATACAGGCAGCCAAATGGAGAAAAAATCTGAACAATCCTCAGCTTCATTTGTCGGAAACTCATTTACCTGTCCTACATGTAAAATGTCATTCTTGGAAAAGGTGTCAATGGAGATGCACAGTCTTAAATGTAAAAATCGGTCCATGTCCATTTACACTTGCTCTATATGTGGAATGAAGTTAAGGGGGAAGGCATCACTTCGTGAGCATACACTTGGAAAGCACAGTGCCACACGATACTCTTGTTCATGTGGAATGAAGTTCAAGTGGAGAAGCTCTCTTGGGTCACATCAGAAACATTGTAATGAGTACATGAAGAAATTTTACTAGTTCTCATGGTACAAAGAGTCTATTTACTGTTAGTGCCATATACTTCATAGTTTTTGATAACTGTATGTTGTATTGTTTCTGTGTCAATGTTAATAAACAAGGAAATGTTGATTTTATTTTACTTTAACTCACTAAATCATTATTTATGAAAAAAAGTCATTGTCATCATGATCTCCAGATTCAGCTATATATGTAAAACAAAGAAGACTAAGAACAAGATGTGTTTGTCAAACTTAACTGCAGAACTGTAGTGTTATGGTTTTATATTTTAGTCTTTGACCATTACGGTCAAAGACTGAAATATAAAACCATAATGCTACAATTCTGCAGCTATGTGAGACACTGATGCCCCCATATGACAGCTTATGGTGAAGGTTATAAAATTTCTCAAATGCAAGTCAAACTCCAGGTCAAAAGATCGAAAATGTTGGTACCCAAAGAAAGGTCTTGTCTCAAGGAATAAACCTCTGAAATATGAAAGCCCTAACGCCAACTGTTGAAAAGTTCTGGCGAAGATTAAAATTTTTCAAAAGTAATAAAACATCAAGGTCAAGGTCAAATGGTGCCCAAGGGAAGGTCTTGTCACAAGTGATACATGTGAATGAAATATGAAAGCCCTAGAACCAATTGTTCAAATGTTATGGCCAAGGTTAAAAAGTAGGTCAGACTCCAAGGTCAAGGTCAATGGGCCAAAATTGTTGGTATCCAAAGGAAGGTCTTTTCACAAGGAGTACACATGTGAAGTATGAAAGCCCTAGAATCTATCTTTCAAAAGTTATGGCCAAGGTTAAAGTTTTTCAAAAGTAGGTCAAACTCCAAGGTCAAGGGTCAAAGTTGTTGGTATCCATAAGAAGGAATACACATGTGAAGTATGAAAGACTTAACACCAACTGTTCAAAAGTTATGGCAAAGGTTAACGTTTTTTCAAAAGTAAAGTCAAACTCCAAGGTCAAACGGTCAAAGTTGTTGGTATTAGAAGGAAGGTCTTGTCACAAGGTATACACATGTGAAGTTTGAAAGCCCCAGCACCAACTATTCAAAAGTTATGGCCAAGGTTAAAGTCTGATAAAATTTAGCAAAAGCAGGTCAAACTCCAAGGTCAAATTTGATGGTACTCAAAGAATGGTCTTGTCACAAGGAATACTCATGTGAAGTATAAAGCCATAGCTTCAACCAATCAAAAGTTATGGGCAAGATTAAAGTTTTTTCTGGAAAACAGACAGACAGCTAGACAAGCGGACAGGGCAAAACTATATGCCCCCGAATCTTCGATTATGAGGGCATAAAAAGGATAATGAAAGAATAGCAAATTAATAACTTGACTTATTACATTAATATAAATAAATATATATTTTTTATGTCCCCGTATCAAAGATTCGGGGGTACATAGTGTTTGCCCTGCCCGTTCGTCCGTCCGTCTGTTTGTTCGCAAAAACTTTAACAATGCCCATAACTTTTGATTAGTTGGTGCTATGGCTTTCATATTCCACATTTGTATTCCTTGTGACAAGACCATTCTTTGGGTACCATCATATTTGACCTTGACCTTGGAATTTGACTAAGTTTTGCAAAATTTTACCCAACTTAAACCTTGACCATAACTTTTGAACAATTGGTGCTAGGGCTTTCATACTTCACATGTGTAATCCTTGTGACAAGACCTACCTTTGGATACCAACAACTTTGACCTTGGAGTTTGACCTACTTTTGAAAAACTTTAACCTTGGTCATAACTTTTGAACGATTGGTGCTTCGGCCTTCATATTTATCCTATATATTTCTTATAAGAAGGCCTTTCCTTGGGCACCATTAATTTTGACCTTGACCTTGATGTTTTACTTACTTTTGAAAAACATTAACCTCTTCGATATTTTTTCAATGGTTGCTCCTAGGGCTTTCATATTTCACAGGTATATTTCTAGAAACAAGACCTTACTTTGGGTACCAACATATTTGATTTGCTTTTGAGAAAGTTTAACCTTTGCTATAAGTTGCCATACGGGGGCATCAGTGTTTCACAAACACATCTTGTTTAATTAAAGATTTAGTCATACACTATATTATTGATGCAATACACTCTTGCTTTAGATTCCAGTGTGTCAATTTCCATGCATACACATGTATAAATGTTTATTTTCAAATACTTTGGTAAATCTCTGAGAAAAAATCCAGATTGGGAAAATATATTATTGAACATACGAATATCTTTATTTTCATTATATATATATATATATATATATATATATATATATATATATATATATATATATATATATATATATATATATATATATATATATATATATATATATAATTTATGAAATCTGAAAAAAATCTCTTTTTGAAAAAAAATAGATGCATTTATCTGTGTTTTTTTTTTCACAAAAATTAAGTCTTCACAAAGACTTTAACCTTATAAGACAAAGCACTTTTACACAGACCTTTAGCCTTATAAGACAATAAAGCACATTTACACAGATCGAAACCCCATTATCAGGTACATGCATCTCTGTACAATTCTAAAGAACTGAACCAGTCCCCTCCCCCGAATTAACGTCAAATTTGACGTTACGTAAAACGTTTGATTGAAATCAAGAGAATTGTCTCCCCCACCGTGCTGTTCGTCTGAAAGCAAATATTTATGCATTTGTATAAACTAGAATACACATCAACATTTAATCTATTAGAGGCAACTTTCCCCGCTTTCGGGATCTTATTGGCTCGGGTGCAATGTTCTATGACGTAGTGTATTTGTCCTATTTGTCCCGTCTTGTCGGTTCATCATACTAAAAAAAGTTAAATATTCTGGTGTAGAAGTTACGGCCAAGATTAAAATTCTTTGAGGTCTACAGGTGCGTGCGGATCCTGGAATTTTTAATTTTTTTCCGGAAAGGGGGGGGGGAGGTCGGAATTGATCAACATCAGCCCTAACAATGTCAGACTTGGAATTTATTTTTGACTAGCAGAATAAGGAAACGTAAACAACTTGTCCAAACCAGAAAAAAAACCTTGTTTTGTGGTGGTGGTGGTGTGTGTGTGTGTGTGTGTGGGGGGGGGGGGGTGTCAATGTGGCCACTGAGTTTTCTTCGTCAATGTTCTTCAGATACATGACTCTCCTTTACGTTTCAAGAGGAGTTCTTGTTTCCTAGGGGTGTGTGGAGTCCAAGGTGGGTTTTTTTGCGGTATATTTACTCAGAAATATTTAATAACTTAAATTCCAGGGGGAAAGGGTGTCCGAAACCCCAAGTCCCCGATGGATCCGCGCATGGTCTAGGTCAAGAGGTCAAAATTCATAGTACATTTGGAAAAGTTTTACCATAGGCAATGCATGTTTGAAAAGATATGAAAGCCCTATCTCTTCTGGTGCAAAAGTTACAACCAAGGTTAATTTTTTTGAAAAGTACCGTAGATCAAACTTCAAGGTCATGGTCATGTGGTCAAAGTTCATAGTATATTTGGACGGTCTTGTCACAGGTAATGCACATGTAAAATATGAAAGCACTGTCGCTTCAGGTGCAAAGGCTACGACCAATTAATTTAACGTTAATTTTTTTGGAAAGAGGTAAATCTTCAAGGTCAAGATCATAAATCATAGTTCGTTTAGAGAGAAGTTGTCACAGGTGATGCACATTCAAACAGACCTGGGGTAATTGTAATGTGCATGATGGTAATGTATTGTAATCGTTACATTTTTTCAAAATAATGGGTGTAATGTGTAATGGATCCATCTTTCAATTACAAGTAATTGTAATATAATGCATTACTTTCAAAAAAATGTCAGTAATGACCATTACTTTTCGATTACATTTCAATTACATTTTGTTTATTATTGAATCTGAAACAAATACCCGGTAAAGGTCACCGAGAGGTTATTTTCTTAAGTCTTAAAATTAAAATTCCATATCTTATCATTTAAAAAAATGTTTATACGAGGACAATGTTGATTGATAAACATACTAAATAATTGTTTTAATAAAAAAAACTTCTTGAGAAGACAGTAATAAAATCAGTTGAAGAGAGATAGAAAAAATATTAAAAGAAACCATTAGGTTTCAAAGAAAGCCACAAAACAAGTGACATTAATACATGTATACTGAGACTACCAATTAAAATACAAACTATATTTTTCAACTTTTTTCACAAAGTTCATTCTGGTAAAATGGACTTGGTAAGCATGATACAAGATCAGTATGATCTACTTGAAGACAAAGGGAAACTAAGGCCAAATATATATAAATGTTGAGATATTGTCCATCATTAATTTTTGGTAGCTTAAGAGTCACCTCAAAATTCAAACCCTACATCTAGGTACTTGTAATGATCACCTATGGTTGTGTTAAATTTATAGCTTCATTGATGATGCCTTTAACAGAGTTATATTTTAATTTAATAAATATAGGATCTCCCATGATTTGTAGTTGGATATGATTTTTATCCAACGAGTTGTGTGTTTTTTATCCCCGAGCCTTGGCGAGGGGATAAAAACACACAACGAGTTGGATAAAAGTCATATCCAACTACAAATCATGGGAGATTCTTTTTATCCCATGTTTAATACTTCACAACCAATGTTTTACACTGTTTTATATGTAGGACTCCACTTTATTTTACTTCATCACGCTAACGCTAAAACCATTGTGACGTCACAACTGCACTTAACTGTGGAATATGAAAAAATTATCCAATGAGTCATATCCACGGGATAAAGGGGTAAACATGGGATAAATTACTTTTCTGCATGAGAGTAATGGTAATTGTAATGGTAAAAATTCCAAAGTAATTGTTATTTAATGCATTACATTTCAAAGTAATTGACCCCAGGTCTGCATTCAAAGTATGAAAACCTTGTCACGGGTAATGCACTTCTAAAGGTTCATAAACCCTCTGCTTTAAGTTTTATGATTTTCCTATAAAGAAATGTATTTTATAAGTAAAATACAATCAATTTTATCATAGCTTGCGGGGCAAAATTAAACAAAAAAGACATTTCAACTTGACAAATCTATAAAGGAATAATATAGGCATTTATGGCATTAAGAGTCATCTCTCTTATCAGAGTATCAATGAACCTTAAATAGCAAAGACCTATCTTCTCTCATTCAAAAGTTATGGCCAAGGTTAAAGTTTTTGTGACATGCAGACGGATTGGCAGACGGACAATAAATTTAAATTGTACATTAAAAAAGCAATTACATACATGATACAGTTGTGTAATTTCTTGAAAGGGTGGGGGTGAAATTCATATCAACTATTTGCATGGATTTTGAAAATAAAGTTCATATTTGAAATATAAACGGTCATTTATTTTAAAAAATACCTGAATATACAAATAAAATAAAAATAAAAAGGGCGTGATCGAGTGATCCTCACAAAGATTAGAATAAGTAAATATTGCGCCTACCTCTAGAAACAGGCTGATATATGAGACTAAAATACAGCCATGGAAAACTTGAAATACTACTAGGCGTAAAAGAGTTTGTCGATGTGGTTTTTCAAATTCAACAGCTAATAGAATGTGAAGTAATTTCCTAGAAATAAAGAATGAGTGCACTTTAGTACGTCATTTGGAACCTTTTCGGCTACCCATTTTAAGCTTTACATTACAATATATCGCTTAATTAATCTATGATTATTGTGCAAGCATATTCTTTTGATATTTATTCCTTGAATTTTTTGTCATACATATTTCTATAATTACAGACAATGTCATTGAAAAGAACATATACAAACCTTAAATTCCGGAAATTTGAACGGGACCACTTACGAATTTAAGGTATCCGCAAATAGGCGGAGTCATTTAAATCGCATGGATGTGGAATGTAAACATTAGCACATGATTTTTTTCGCACTGCGAATTTAAATGGAGAAGAGAGAGATTGTGTAGTTTTATGGTGCACAAATAATAAATGATTCTAGTGTTTAGGGATGGGGAAGATGTCTCGCCCTGCAGACCATTATACGGTGGCGACATGAGCTTGTACATGTACTTCCTAATCAAGTGTCAATACCAGAATTCTTTCAAAACACCCGTAATGAAAAATACAAAGTAAAATAAGAGACATATAATCTTCAAACCCTATTAAGGACATTGGCAAGTCAGGGCTTTCCGGAGAAAAAAGGTTTAATACATGGGTTTTTTCACTTGTAAAATAGTGATTAAGAGTGATCTCCCGTGTAGAATTCTCTAAGCGGTGAAAACCAATAAAGCGTATGTTATAGAGGTAAACAAAAGCACGTGTACTTCCTTCAACGGGTAGAATCATCTATACAGCAAGAAAGAAAAGTAGTAATGGTTTTGTTGTACATTGTATTCAGGGACAAAGAGCAAACAGGTCGTCATTTACCATAGTTATGCTCAGTATGCTGGGAAGGGCATAGATGTGACATATGCTGACAGGTAGGGGTCGACCATGCCGACTGAGAACACATACATGCCAACTTTCCCGATTTAGGCGGGATCCTCCCGATTTTACCCTTTGATCCCGCTCTCCCGATCGGGAAAGCAAAATTGCCCTAAAATCCCGATTTGAAAGAAATTCACCCTAAAATTTCCGATTTTCAGAGTTTCCCTACCGCAATATTTTGTCAATCGGGATTAAAATATCAGACTTGTTTATTCAATGCACACAGATTAGTCCTTTGTTTATTTAACTCAGACAGAGGTGTTAATTAGCCACAGGAAATCACTTCTCGCTTGAACGCACACAGCTGTCCAGGTACAGGTAACATATAGCCTGGAGCAGTTAGGGGATTAAACTTTTCAGTCAGAAGGGGTATGCATAGTGAAACACATAGATTTAGGGGTTAATTAAATATCATTTTATTAAAAACAAAAATTAAATACAGTGATATGATAAACTATCAACAAAATCGGAATTAACAGATTAATCCTTGTTGATCGTTTCTTAAAAACGAAAGTAGAAAACAACAAAGCATAGCCGCTGATTTTATCTGCTTGTAATAAAAATATTGTAAATTTTTCCGGTTAAAATGAGATAAAAATAATTTAGATGAAACAAAAAAGTCTTATACCTCAAGTACACTGAATCCCCCCCCCCCCCCATGTAATATGACAAGGGAATACCCACACGACACTGCCAGGATTAATATGAAAAAGTTCATCATGATTATAACAATTTTAATTTTTGTTTTGGATAGGGGGTATCCTTGTTATAAATAATTGATGATCTCAAGAGTAAATTCATTTCTTCAAATTGTTTTTTGTGTGTGATAAAATTAATCATCATGATGTCTACTTATTAATAGGGAATAAAATGACACTTCTATTTAAAGTACATACCACAAACAAATTTTCCTATCTCTCTCTCTCTCTGTCTCACACTCACACACTCACTCACACACACAATGCATTGCAATTTTTCAATATTTCTTTCAATTTAATGTCTAATAAGGAAATTCTAATTGTGTAAAATGTAAATATAGAATTTAACAAATGTTTCCCAGAAACTGTACAGTAACAAAACCTTATATATATATTTCTAAAACTTTGCAAAAAAATTTATTTGAACTGAAAGTTGTACATTTTCACCAAATTATGTGTCTTTTTCAAACATAATGTTGTTAAACTAAAAAGATATTTGAATTTTGGAAGGAAAAAAATTTGTTTGTATTATTTATTCTTAAATTGTATTAACAAGTGATATTGATATTATAAATTAAAAAAAAAATGGGATAAACATTTATTTTCACGACAAAATGTCGCGAATTTAAAGCTTTGAAAATTGTCGTCACGCGCAAAATCCCCCATGGGAATTTTCAAAAGTTGGCATGTATGAGAACAGTTCTTAGGTCGTGTGAAGGAATCAGCATTTAGTAATTACGAATAAAAGTTAAAAATAAATCCATGCCAATATTTTTATGACAATGTGTTTCAATCAATTCAGTCAATTACATGATAAAAACAACCAACCAGTCTCTTGACCAATTTTAGCTGTTAAGGGACGCAACTCAAAAATGATGATCGGTGCCGGTATATCCATGTCTTGTTTCTATATATACATTTTCAACCAAAATATCTAGAAGTCATAGGAAATGAAGTTACAATAATGTATATAATACAAAAACTGTATGAAATAAATGTGTTTTGAAGAAATATTATGGTGAAAAATTATGTAGGTCCCTTTTATCAACATTTTACATAGGAAATGCATTACGAATTGTAAAAACACTAATTTGACAAAATCTAAAAAAGAATGCTGGATTGGTAGGTAAAACGATCCAGAATATAGCCTATTTAGTACATTTAAACCTACTCAAAAGTTCTTGAAAAATTCTATACAATAACCAGGAACCTTGCCAATGTCCTTCCATAGTCTGAAGTTGAAAGTACGATAGATACTGTCACAATAGAAACTTTCAATAACAAACACAATGAAATGCTCAATGAAAGCCTTAGCGTATCGAACAGTGGAATGTCACGTGAGTAAAGTGATTATAATATCAATCGTTGACACTCGGTGAACTGTTAATTTAGTGGCTAATTCGACCGTAGTTTGGAGACTTTTTCAAAAAATTAGATAATGAGCCGCAATTTGTCCAACATTGTCCTTTGGATATGTTGAAGTTTAAATCAAAATACACATTCTGTGCAAATGAGACCAATGGACAAGTTGCGGCTCGATGTAAACAATGTCGTTGAAAACTGGTATGCATATGAATAACAATAGAAATGTGACAAAACTGTTAGACCCCCGTCTCAAAAGCTAGTGTCGCTCGGCATTATTTAATACTTTCATGTAGTATAATATACCAAAACCTGCTCTTGAGACATTGTTTAATACCTATAAAACATAAAGTTTATGAACTTTGGAAATTTATTTTGCGCAAAACACCGGGACCCAGCTCTCATAGCTTAAGTGCACTCATCCTTTATAATCCTAGAGTGCTAGGGGAATTTTTAAAGTTTTAATATAAGATCTAAGTTAAAAATCTTTCCAAATTTAGCATTGCTCAACAACATTATCTATGGATAATGTCACAAAAGATTATGCTTTTGCTGTTTTATTATCCCAGACATTTAATTACATAACTATAAGAAGAAAACAATATGCAGGCCCATTGAGCACGGATATATGTATACTTACTTCCTTTAAAGTTTTGCTGTTAATTTTCATGCATAGACCATCTCTCTTTCTTTTTGTTGTAGCATGCTGTAATCCTTTAAAGTTATTGTACCTAAAATATCATGTTACATTAGAACTTGAGTTTTGTGGAACAACCCCCCCCCCCCTTTTATTGCTTGTCAGCTATTTTGGTCCCCCACCCCCATTCGGCAAACCTCGGCTGATTCCGTCACCTTCATCAAATGATGAGGTACGAATCGGCCGAGGTGTGCCGAGTGCCCCCACCCCTTGCTTTTGAGTGGGGAACATTGCTACGGGTCTGAATATATATGTGTTAAAATTAATTACTGCAGCATAGACATAAAATTACAAATATACATGTTTGTTCAGACTGTGTTCAAATTTTAAAATTTGCTCTGGATCCGTTTTTATTCGGTTGATAATGTTCAGTCGTACTTCCTGTCCCAAATATGGCCTTGACCTATTTTGTGAAGCCGTAAACGAAAGCTGGCGGTTTGTTTAAAACTGGCGCAATGGACACATTTAAAAAACTACACCTTCCATGGAATTTCGGAAAACGGTATAATATAATGGAAGGAAAAGAAAACTCTTATTATAATACACCAAATTCAAAGATAAACCACACAGTTGAAAATGACGATGAAGAAGTTCAACCCAGACGACTTAGGCGCAATACAAGCTTGACAAAATCTGTCAGGGATGTTGTTGGAACATTACGGCAGGTTAGTTGAATTCACATTTCTTTTTCTTCTTTGGCGAATCTAATGCCCTTACATATACATTCTTTATGCTTCAGACTGATTGTCACACCCACAGGTACATTTTGATCTTGATTTATACATATGGTATTAGCCTAATATGTAAAAAGAGTACCCTTTTTAGTTTTTACATCACTAGGTATACACACAGGGACTTGAGACAATCTTAGCAAAATCGGGTATATAGTATTATACTATATACCCGATTTTGCTAAGATTGTCTCAAGTCCCTATGGGTATACATATTTATAAACCAAGACTCATACATTTACCTGTGTCCACACCATATCTTTTTGATTTTTATATCAGTATTTAAAAAAAAAAATTAAAATTTTTATATATTAAATAAGAAATTTGAGTGTGTAGGACTAGGTTTTTGATTGAAATATTATGTGATCCATTCCTTGTTGAACCGTGAAACAAATGTAATATTATTTGCTCTTTTTATATGAATTTAAATGTTAACAGTTGTAAGATCAGTTACTGTGGAATCATTTTAATTCGTGGGGGTCAATGTTCGTGGTTTGTTGGTTTTTGGGGATGTAATTTCGTGTGTAATTTGTACATACAGAAGATTCAATGAATAAATTTATGTTGTCAAATAATATTGTTCATGGAGATGTAAATTGATTCCTGGATAAGGGTGACCCACGAAATCCACGAACATTGGTCCCCAAAGAAACAATGATGATTCCACAGTATCCTTTATGGGTATTCAATGAATCATCATATCGAAACATTGATTACTTTTCATTAATGTTAGTATTGACAGGTTCTCTTTTTATTTTGAAAGAAAATTAAAACATCAACAAAGCGAAGAATGAGATTTAAAGACCATGATGAGATTGCTTCACCAACTCGGTCAAAGATCACAAAGCAGAAAAAGAGCAAATGTTTTTCCAAAATTCCTGCAACGCCTAAAAGTATGAAGAACACAATTGTTTACAGAGAGGTGAAATTGTATTCTCCATTTCAAATTGAAACTCCACCAGCAAAAACTCCCCCTGGAATAAGAACATCAACACGTACTCGAGCACAGTGAGTTGTTTTGATTGTAAAGTTTGAAATTGATGTATCGAATATAACTTTTTTTATGAAAAATATACCAATAAATATTTTATACTAAATATACCATGTAAATGTAAGAATATGAACTGGATGTACTGTACACATCCCAAACTAATTATATTATTGCTTTTCATACTTAACATATTGATAATTTAGACTTCATCAGTTGGAAACTCCAACTAGACTGAGGAGAGAAGTGGAATCTCTTACAGCTAACATGCAGGCTCTAGCCACACTCTCACCAAATGACTTACAGCAACGAACAACAAGGTAAAACTTTAATATAACTGATGAGTAACCAACTTTAGATCCTGATTGATAATTCATTTTTAATCAGGTTTTCTTTTAATTGGGGGTGGGGGTTACGTACATTATATTTTTAACTACATATTATTAAATAACATACAAGTCATTACTGTATTGATAAAGGTTTCTGAAACCAAGAATTATATTTGAAAGAAAATTACAAACTATACTTTTTTAAAAACAAAACCAAAAACAAGCAAATACTATATAACAGGTAAAATATGAAAAATTTTTTGGCAAGTTTACATCAGAACAATGATTAAAATCAAAACCTTTGATCTGCTCACATAGTCTTGCCACACCTTGTGTGAGCTGATTAGAGGATCTGATTTTATTTTATTTTTTTTCAGACTGAGAACAGAATGACGCAGAACTTTTAAAAAAAATTAATATGTATTCATTATTGTTTAAAATCTATTCATTTTCACTTTGTCATATGTTTTATTTACATAATTATAGTAAGTAACATACCAAAGTCTTCTCACAAATATTTTGAAATTTATCAGAATAAAGTGCTTTTAAAATTATATGCCATCCTCTTAATATGCCATTCGCTTAATATTCTCTATCCAGGCAGCGTGGCAAGTCTCCATTAACAAATGGAAGTTTTCAGAGGACAGGAATTAGGACAAGCCTGCGTATACAGAATCGTCAGAGGATGGAAACCAATTTCCTGTAAACAACTGCCATGTTCAGACTTTGAGGAAGACATCTCACTTAATATTGCATGCCTCTGCTATATTTATTAAACAGTATTATTATTATGAAATCTATTGCATGTATTTCCATATTTATTCATTTCATACCCGTTTATCTTACCTCATATTTATTTTATCTATGTTTATCCATTTGTAAACATAATTCTACAGCCATATGTCCTATTCTTTCTCACTGTCTTCTTTCACTTGACTTTTTTGTCTGAAGCATAATTAATACATCGAACATTTCAATTTTATACAACCACTCTACATTTTAATTCTAATTTCCGGGTAAGTAAGGTGAAATGACTTTACAGAACTTTACCTTTAATGGTTTTACATAATACTTTAAAAATTGTAAATAAATAATTTTAGCTTAATATTTTTACATTTGTTGCCAGTGATTTAAATTTTTTTAGTTTTAAAGATGTTATTAAAAGCAGTGCTTTGTTCTGATTTTTTATCATGTAGTGTGAATTATTTGTAGTGTTCAGTTAAATTTTAGTCTTATTTTATCCAGTAATGAAATGATAGTCATGTAAATGAATTGTTTAAATGTCATAACCAGTAACCAGTCAAAAGTCATGAGCATCTAAAATATGTGATTTTGAATGACTGAATTCTTTCAATTTGTAACTTACAATTTGGTTATTTTAAAATTCATTCTGTACCAAATTATTGATTGGTATATATGAATCCAAAGTAGATGACTACCAGTATGTTGAATATAGGGTTGTTGTTTTTTTTGTTTGTTTGTTTTTTTTTGCTGTCAGTCACTTGACACATGTTGTTTGTGCTTAAGTTGATGATAATTTTAATAGCAGTTCTTAAAGAATCTGAGAAGTTTTCTTTGTTTCACCAATTTGTATTTTTTGTATGTGTGAATTGTTTATAGTCATTTGAGACTACCTCAGATATGCTGCTTTTGGCATAGTTCTAAACCTTCAGCAATGTTGTAAGCTTTGTGTATTTTCTTATAGAAAATCTGATATGTATTTAAAATAGGATTTTTTTTTTTTTTTTTTTTTTTTTTTTTTTTTTTGAATTCAAGATGTTTGAAATGTCAGATTTCAGATTTAAAGAGTTTGATTTCAGAATTATTTCTTAATTGTGAAATAAATAAATTTAAAAAAAAAAAAAGTTTCTTTACATGTAACAGTATTTGCGCATTTTTTCACAAGAGGAAAAGGAAAGGTTGTCTTTCCAGTTAAAAAGCAAAGACAGTTTTTTTTCTGTCACTTTCCCCTCTGTCAACATCTTTAATTTTACAAGATTCTTATATTTGTTTAGCTTTTGTATCTTTAAGGAGACTTATTTTTGCCTTTAATATATATTATATGGAAGATGAAATAATCATCTGGAGAAAGCCTGAGCAAATTTCCCCTTTTTAACTGCACTGTTATTTGCTTATTTGGTTCCTTTTTATAGACCTGTCTTCAGACAGGACATATTACAGTATGGCTTCATGTCCTGTTTGTCCATCTATCTGTAAGCTTTTTCTTGTTGGCTCATATTAAATACTAGGAGGCCTAGAATAGTCAAACTTCGTCAGCTGATATAATTTGGATAGAAGGTGTGTCGCACATTAAAAGTAGGTCACTGTGACCTTTCATGAAGATGATATAGCCAAGTATGTCAAAACGCTGTCCAACTCGTAACTGGAAAACTATTAGACCTAGCATCATCAAACTTGGTCAATTAATGCATCTTAAGTAGAAGGTGTGTCACATCCTACTTAAAGGTTACTGTATCCTTTAATTAAGGTGAAATAAAAAAAAAACTAAAGTTACACTGTCCCAATTTAAGAGCATTGCAGTTACCTTATTAAACAATGATAACGGGCGTATCATACACCGTTTATTTTGAGAGGTTCCTGTCAGTGAAATTATAATACATTAAAAGAGGAGCTGCAAAAATAAAGATCGACTCCGTTTGATTTTTCGCACGCTTCGGGTATTATTTCTATTATATGCACCCCCCCCCCCCCCCACCCCGAACCAAAGCATATCTGTAATTAACCTTTCAAGTTTTCAACGGTTCTACAAAGCATGACTCCAACATGGATGTCGGAATGTGAATTTTTTGAAACTGGTATTCCTAGGCCATATAGGGCTGGTTGGAGCTGTTAAAAGGTAAATAAAATAACAAGTTTAAAATATTATGGTTACTTTAACAGATACCGTGCGTTTAGCGGGAGAACGCATATATAAACTTGGTCAATTAATGCATAAAAAAATAACATCTGAAGCGTGCGACAAAAAGAAAGAAAAAGAAAGCGGAACTGTAAATCGAAAATTTTTACAATGCTTGGATCAAAGATGCTTGAGACCCTCCCCCTCCCCCCGGTATTCCGTACCTTAAGGGGACTTCTTAGACTTTTTTTTTTAAATAAATTGTTTTTCTATGAACATTCACAAAGTATATATTACAATTGAAAAATCCAATCAATATAACTTAAAACTAACCTTTTTGTAAAAATCCACACTTTCTGGTATCAGAGAGTGCGAATTCTTATAAAAGTTTAGTTATACGTTATATTTGGGATTTTTCAATTATATAATACTTTGTGAATGTGTCAAAGAAAAATATTTTATTGAAAAAAAAGTCGAACCCTCGGGGTACGGAACACAGGGGTGGGGTAGGGGTCTCGTCTCCAATAACCCATGGCTTGGATCTGTAGCCCTTTGATTTGTCTCTCGAAATTTTATCAACCAGAGTGCTAAAAAGTTTTAAAAAAAGAAAAGAAAAAAAAAAAGAACAAGGGGGGAGGAGGGGGTCCATGTCCCAATGAAGTGCTTGTGCTCATTGCAGATACAGGTTTTCATTTTCAAACCAGACAGACAGCTCAGTACTACGTTACGTATAGCACACCGTATGATACGGTGTCGCATAATATTTGGTCCGCCTTGTTTAAAGGTCCGCGGGGACCTAATACGATAACATATAAGGTCCGGCCTGCCTCTATAATAAAAGGTCCGCCTTCGGTTTAATATGCAGATTTTTCTCCTTTATTGATTCGAAATTAATTTGCTTTATTAATCTTTTTAAATTATTTAAGGTATAGTTGTTATAAAAGTGTCCCTCCCAGCAAAATGGAGTTCCAGGGACGTACATGTATGTACATTGTATATATACTAAAAGGATCAAGTCTTGCGATATCTCGCTAGTTGCTGGATTTCGTTAGCCAATTTTAATGAATTATATTTCTAATACTATGATATATTTCAGTACAAAACCTCAAATCATCTATCAAAAAATTATTCAAAATTTGATGTTAGCACTGATAAACCGTTAGCTCCTTATCGTAGTACATACCTCCCAGGTAGTGCACAAAACAAAAAATATAAAGATGCAAAGATCTGTTGATCGAGTTACTCTTTGGGAAAATCACGTATGACATGTGTCTTTTATAGTTTAAGTGATATCAATATTATCATTGCAAAATAAAAAAAAAATACATATATATATATATAATACGCATACCTTCACTGGCATATTGTTCAGTATATGGTCTTCGTAAGTCCAACAATGATCATTTCATTACAGTCTCTCTCCTAACAACGTTCGACTTCCACTTCCCAAAAAGAATTTTCATATCGTTCGAAAGATATTTCATTATATTATTAATAATAATTATGCATAATTCTTACGATTCATATTGTACCTAACTATAAAATAATTGGAGGGTCACTGTGACAGGGAATTGTGTTACGGTGTACTAGCCTATCCCGTTGTTGTTAAAACAACATGTCTGTGCTTTGGGGGGTAGGCCTATTGTCTCACCTGACGAAACTTGAAGTCGCATATCCCCCGTGTTTTTATAACCATCGTTTTTTATCCAGTTAGAGACTAACGATTATTTCATTCTACTTGATATTACCCCGGGGTTAACACTGGTTAAGGAAGATGTGCATTAATTGGCAAAATCAAACCAAAGTCAATCGATTTGAACATTTTAAGCAATAAAACTAACCCCCCCCCCCCCAAAAAAAAAAGGAAAAGAATATAAATAGTGTTGTTGTATTTTTGGTGGGTGGGGTATAGCAAAATTATGCTGATACATGTCAAATAGTTTAAAAAGTACTGATGTTGTAGACTTTCCTCCCGCATTAATATTTTTTCCCGGAAAAACGAGCTTGGGTTTAAAGACCCCTTCCCCTTTTGGAAAATGAGCCTACCATAGGATTTTATTTCCGGATTTTTTTTTTTAAATATTGTTTATTTCATTCCCTACATTTTGTAGTTTTCATTTCTGACGTTTTAAAATTTTCATCTCTGACATTTATCATCATAAAGTACTTTTCCGGCAATGAAAACAAAATTGAAATTTCCCTTCAAAAAAAAAAAAAAAAAAAAAAAAAAAAAATCAAGAATAATTCATTGATTTCCAAATAAAAAGTTCTGTTTATATTTAAAAGAATCTTATGATGATTTTATCCTCGGACACATGTAAGTGTAAGTTGTGAATTTTTGTTCATCTTTTCAAATCAAGATAATCAGACTGAATTTGAGATCAGAAAGGTTAAGATAGAATTTATGACATACAGAAACTATGTTTGAGGGAATAAAGTAATCAAAGTTGAGGGGATTCTGTTTTTCGGTGCTTTCAATCACATATAATTCAGTGGGCATTAAAATTTGGTGATAAAAAATTGCATGTTTTATTATTGAAATTCTTGCGCATTTTATTACTAAACTTTGTATTTTTACTAGACTTAGTGTTGATTGTATTGTAAAATGAAAACAAAAAATGTCGGAAATGCAATGCAAAATTTCGGAAAAGACATGCAGCGAGCTTGGAAGAAACAACCCCGGCTTTATTATCCACCATAGGAAATACTCAGTACGCTTCAGTACAGAATTTTCTCCTTTTCCACCTTCTTACAAGGGAGAATCTTATCCACCCATACTATTTACAGAGGGGTTTTACAGAGCAACTTGACATGTGTTTCCCCCTAAAATAAAAAGGAAAGTGTCTGTTGAGATCGTGACTGATATAAAAATTCATAAAACACCACCAAGTCGTGTTCTTTTGTTAATATTTTTTATATTTATTTTGATTTTGGTTTAAATTAGATTTTCTACGACTTTTAGCAGCTATTTCTTTTTTATTTATGTGTGTGTGATGGGGGTGGGGGGTGGGGTGGGGGTGGGGGTGGTTATAGTTCTCTTGTTGCACGTCATCAACATTACTAATTAAATAATAATATATATCCTTGGTCCCTTCAGACAGATGTTTATGGTTGCATATAGATATACACAATACTGTAGACACATCTCCTGCAAACGTACATAGAGTGGATAATTAATTGACATTAAAGTTTTGTCTTTTTGTCAGCATATTAAATGAAAAAAGTACACTACTACATGTAGTATATATGCAATTCTTATGCACAATTAGGCC